TGTTTTTTACAGTATATATCATATCTAAAATAATAAGGCATTTTTATATCTAATAAATAAGTAGAATTAAAGATGTTTTTTTTAACTCTATACCAACCATAGAAGCCTTCAAGAAACATCAACAGAGGGGAGTCATTCATATAATTGTAGTATATACAACGAACTCTTTTACATTCTTTTATTTAAATCCAAGCCTTTCTCTGTAATCAATTTATTTATAATAGATCTAAAACATTCCATTCAAGTGTTCTGCATCAAAAGAAACCTTAGTCATTAATAATACCTTTTCCCTATCTTTTATTAACCAGTAGATGAATTATAAAAGTATATCTAAATGAAATTAAAATTTAAAATATATATTTTTTTATAACACAAGATTTAATGAGTTCTACATTTATATTCACAGCTAACATTTTAATATATAATTAAAAATTAAAAAGACCCTTTACGAATTTAATCTTGCAAATCTTATTTACAAAATATTAAAGGATGAAATACTTAATACTATAGTATTAATTTTGGGATGTTTAAGCCCGTTTATTTTTACAAAATTTCAATATTGAAAAAAAATGAGATAAGTCTGTGATTTTCGAAAATTAAATTTAATTCTATGAGGACATTCACAAAGGACATTCATTCCTTCTCCACGTGAGAAAGAGGCCTTGCTCAGCAGTGGGCGTTGATAGGCTGATGATGATGATGATTCACAAAGGAACCTAACTTATCAAAATATGAGACAACTGAAAACCAACGCACACATTTCAAACATGGCTTTTAAGAATAAGATAAACCTCATTTTAATCAGTCGATTTGTTTAAGAACTACGAGGCTACAGACACACAAACACAGATATCGATGTCAAATTCATAATACCACTATTTTAGGTCGTTGGTTAAATTATCATAAAAACAGTGGACGTAAGCTGTAATTAAGTGATATTACAAAAAAATATTTCAACAAAATATTCGCTGGTCATTGCCTACGAAAAACTTAAATACTGTGAAAGAAAAAAGGTAATTACACTTTTCGTTGCTTATAAAGTAATCACCGGCTGCTTTCTTTGCTTCATTAATCAATTATTTTCAAAAGCAAAAACGGATTTATGTACTATATTTAAAACTTAACTAATATATTGTTGGATCAAAAGCTCACGTGAGTTCACTTAATATGCCTCAAACAGACACACACACAGAGACATGTCACAGAGACACAAACTTATAAGACCCCGACGTTTTGGCGTTGTTAGTTAAATATAGTAATTACATTACAGGTAATTTAAAATATAGCTCTACAAGTGTAACACAATCACCGTTCAATTAAATTCTACCTTTCCATCCATTTTTAAATGACTATTTCTATTACAATACAATTCTCACCACAAACAAAGCTATCCTATTACCATCGGATAGACCGCCTCCACGTTTGTGGCGTCACACCTCAGAATAATATTATAAAACAAAGGTTACTTAAATGAATCAGTAATAAAAAATGAGATAAACATTTAACATTAGATACACTTTATAAATAATATTTAAAGAAGACTTTTCATAACAGATAAGATAGATGTATTAATTGTTACACTTCTCTAATACTTCAAAAGAAAGTGCATTAAATACTCGTTTATATGATAAAAGCTAAAAAGTCTATAAAAAGTGGAAAAGATTAATAGTTTTATTATATATACTACAGGAGTTTTTCCTGAACAACGGGATATTTAAAAGTAACATAAAATTTATATTGAGATGGCACGAAGTAATATTGAAAGTAAAATCAGTACCTATTTATAGAATCAAGAATTTAGTATGTCGTGAAGTATGCTTTAACTCCTACACATGTCCTTGTAGCATTGTAGTCAGTTAGTAGAAATTTAGAGTTTTTCTAAATACGATAAGATAATAATTAACTTTCCTGTCTCTTGAGTAATTCCTTTTCGACTTTAATATTAAATACCCAATAAGTTTTTATATTTTGTTACAAATCCGTCTCAGAAAATATATACTCTCCAGGCCTCTGGGACGATTAATTAATTTATTTGACTCTATCGAGGTTATTCTCGTGTTTATCTTCAACTTCATAATAATATGGCTTAGCTTTCATAAAACGTGTACTCGAGGTTATTAATTAACTAAAAAATAAGTTCTACAGACCCTGAATATATTCCTTAAAATGAAAAAACTAAGCTTTTATAGGTATTACAATTAGTGAGTCGGGTGAATCCTCAGGTAAACAATACTTTCAACCATTATATTGTTTCACTGTGGCATGAACATATGTATAATGAGTAAAACGAAATAATTTAACACCTTGCTTAATACAACTATTGCTACCTTTAACTCTTTTTCTACCTGGCAATTTCCAAGCTTTAGCCAGGGTCTGCCTTACATGTTGTGAATAGATTTGGCTAATTGTTTTTACGACCGGCCGCCTGCCTGACATCAACCCTCTTTGGGAATGCATTAATCAGTGATGTTTAGATACTCTTAGAAAGTACATATGACTCGGAAAAATCACATTGGTACTTGCCTGGGCCAGGATCGAACCCGAGCCCTCATGCATGAGAGGCGGGCCTTTTAACCACTAGGCCACCACTGACTTGTTTTAAGTGGTACTCTACGTTTTAAGTATGGTAGCGAGACATCAATAGTGATAATAGAAACTAATATCTTTATAATGCTTATACGCTAATAGATTTGGGAATACTTCTATCACCAGAAAATTATATTTTTGATACATTTAATGAGATATCATAAAAAGTATCAAAAATATAACTACCTCTTTAATTTTATTTCGTATAATATAAAAATATTTTCACATACTACGATGTCATCATTATTTTAACATAACATCTCACACAGATCAACACTTGACGATGAAGACTTGGAGATCATATGTTTGTACATAGTTGAGCTTCATAAAATTAATTCAAGGTTACAAGACAACTAACACAGAACCTCATTAATACGATATATGAAATGAAAGTCTGTATATTAATTAAAAATAAGATTCGGTTGATTGTAGACGCATAGTTTATGGGGTTTAGATTTAAACTCACTTTGACAATCTATATATAATATATGTATATAAAAAATTGTGTTAGTTACACTATTTATAACGAAAGAACGGCTGTAAGGATATGGTTAAAAATTGGTAGGGAGATAGCTTGGAACCAGGAGACGGACAAAGGATAATTAAATCACTCCGATCAAAAAAGAAATTAAACTTAATAAATTCCTATATCTGGTAAAAAGATATATTAATTTATTCTAAACAGATATCTTTATTCTGCTAGTACGATAATAGATTTGGAAATACTTCTCGAACCATAAAACAAATATTACATAGTCTATAATCACCAAAATAACTTTTTACTACGATGATATTCATTTAAATTTTTAATATGCATCCATTGTTATTATAGTATTTGAAATTCATTTAATCAAATGTCCATAGAGCATAGATTAATACTTATGTAACATTCATGTGGTATCAGACGGGACAATTTTACTTTGGGTGACGTTTGTGGGATGAATTACTATATAACAAGGGCTGAATAGTTTTTTCCCTACAATGAAAAGTCAACTCTAATACAAAGTTTATAAGATTCATTGTATCTAGCGTTATTGTATAACAAAAAAGAAAATAAAACCCTATTTGGACGACCGCGACAGTCCAGTAATGTAAGCTGGAATTTAAGAGAATAAATTGAAAAATCCTTCACTCAATGTATTTACTTTGAGGAAAACTTGTTGTTTTTCCCTTAAACTAGAAAAATAGTAAAAAATTTGTGCAAGTAACTCGTCAAATGATTTCAGAGAATATATATTTTTTTGTTCAAATCATTAGGTCAATGTTTTGCGAACAGCGAACTTTGCGAACCTAAATATAATTTTATGGTCAAATTGTTAACACAATATCCATATTAGAATAGTTAGATAATCAACTATAAAAGTAAAAGTGTAGTGAAGTTACTCTCGATACACTATACACAAAAACATAAATACTATAACGAATATTTATGAATGTTAAACTATAAGTAGCGTGTCGACGCCAACTTAGAATAGAATGCCAACTTAGAAGCAAAGTGTAATTACAATAGTCCTGTTTATAGTCACTTATTGAAAATCAGTTTTTATTAAATTCATTGATATTTTAATAATAACAATATTAATTAAAATAACTATTCTAAACACGCAGCTAACGGATTATTTGAATGAGTGATTATTGAAACGCTTTTTGGTCACATGAAGCGAAACGTTTACGAATAATACACTGTAAATAGTTATTAAAACAAGTGAACTTTTTCGCTAAAATCTTAGATCTCATTAATATACAGTTGTTTATTATTCCATGTTTTTTTCATATATTTGCAACTCTCATATAGATAGATAAATAATTTTCTAACAAGCTAGTACTATATAACAGTATAAAACATGCGAGCCTCTACGACGGTCACTGCTTCTGTGATTCCAATTCCTTTTCAGTACAATAATTTGTATCAGAAAGGTTTCCTAGAATTCCTTTGTTTCCTTTGTACATTTCATTCTTTTACTATTATGAGGTTAATAATATGCTTTGTTAGTATTTTGTTAGAGCGTGCTTTGTACGGTCGTCGGGTCAAAGGTTATCTGATTTTATATCGGTTGGCTAGTGAAATATGATTTTAAACTTAAATAAAGAAAATTGTTTTTAAAGTCTAATGTATTAGAAGATTTTGTTTATCTAAGGATTCACGTCTAGTATTTTTAAAACAGTACTCAGAGATAGGATTTATAGAAAATCTATTTTATAAATTACATGTGTAAACTATGATAATATTTGTACCGTATATTTATTTCAGATACCATTTTTTATTTATTTTTTTCAAGAATATTGTTAGTCGTTTTAATATTAGTTCGTTATAATTTCTACTAAAAACTAATAAATAATTCACGTACAATGAAATCCTCGAAGGTTTCAAGCGTCACTTAATGTGGAAAACACAAGAGATTAAGATGTTGTAAATGGGAGCGAGAGATGTGGCCAAGACCGGTCGTCGTGGAGATCCTTGGGGGAGGCCTATGTCCTGCAGTGGACGTCTTTTGGCTGATGATGATGATGATGAAATGGAAGCGGGAAATTTAATTTACGATTGCATGAGGTATTAGTTGGAACATAATAACTCTTGATGTTTTTAATTAATATATAATAAACAGTCCCTTCAGTTTGTTCCTACTCTGTTAGTAAATTAATTCTTTGATCATTTAAGTTTTGCCGAATCATTAGTTTTTATAACCATTTCAAATTTTTTTACCGACTGTATGTAGTAATATTAGAACAAGTGTAACGTACAATTTGCATATTTTGAATGTTGTCATAACTGAATTATTTTTATTTTATTCTTGTCAAAGACCTAATATCAGTTGAGTTATTTATAAAGATCACTATTTTAAATCTAGGGTAATAAACTCACAGATTCATCTAATAGCTTCTGACAGACACCTAAAAGGTCTGCTTAAGATTACACTCTTCTAAGAAATCTGTGCTCAAGCTATATAGGTTTTAATTATGTCATGTGTTTCAAATATTGATATTGTTTGTCAATTAAATAATTTTACGTCTAACTTGTAATAGTTGAGGTAAACGTTTCTTCCTATCACTAAATAACTCAGGTAAATTTCAATGTTTCAAAACTCAGTTTATATAACATCTCAGATACAAAATAACATCAGTTATAACATGTCTAATACAATAATATTAGGATTAATATATTTCACTGTTTTGACCTCTGTCACAAGTAATTCGTTCGTAAGAGTCCACAAAGAATACAATTATTATTTATTTATTTATTTATTTATTTATTTATATCGGTAATCCAACAGTGCTTATAATAATGACATGATAAAGTATAACTAAACAATACAAAGACCAATACAGGATTACACAGTTAAAGTAAAAGTATAAACATAAACGTAACTTAAGTATTAATTAATAATGGGTCACTAATATAATTAGTATGATAATTAGTTATTATGATAATTAAGAAATCACATAAAAGGTAAAGTTATAAATATCATAAATGTAAGAAACGTATGGAAGTTGAAATTCTTAAACTATTTACCCAAGCAGTGATAAACTTTGATATTCATTAAATTAAATATCTATAACCGTAGGAGAATGGAGTAGTTATCCCTACCTATTCTGTACACAAAATAAATTTTACGAATCATTTTTTGGGTATAATCCACATCGGTGTGAGAACATTAAAGCGATAACGTATATACATAATCTGTTCAAAAGATATCACGGCGTTTGAATGTTCCAATATATTTGATGTGTTTATTATGTTTTGTTATGTTGGTACTTGTGTCCCTAACGTAAAGGTCATTATGATTTAGACGGTCGGTGGATGCAATAAAAACAAAATTTAAACTACTTTATTTTATTATAAACCTAATTGGTTCGACTATATTGTACGAAGTGTAAACAAATAGTGACGCAATATTGTAAAAAGAAATATAAAACTAAAAAGTCTGTTCACACGGAACTGCTGAGTCAGACCCGTGTAGAATGAATAAGTTTACTTAGAAGCTAAACTTGACCTGCGATTACACCGTAACTCTCTTATTACTTAATTAAACTATCACTATGACACCGTCGCATAACAAGGTACCGTGTGTTTTAATACTATAAAAGACTGCAAAATGAGGTTGCTTACAATGATTGTAAGAGTACGTAATGAATTCTCAGCACAGGGTATTGTGTAGTTTGAACTCTTAAAACCTTTTAGTATTTGGGGGATAAATTTAGAAAATCGTTGTTTTTCACATGGGCAGTTATATTTTGCATGTTCACGAGTTTGGAAACCATACGCTTTATTTGTGTTAAAGTTAGACCAAAAAACAAAAAATCTTGTTTACAAGGACCACTTCAATGAAACGGATAATTTGCGGACACGTATAACGCTTCGATTCGGTATCTACTTTGGATTCACTTTCATTTACTTAGAGAAGTTCAACTAAATAACACTTCATTTTTGTAATCAAAATGAATTCATACTGTTGTGAAATGAAATAAAAATTTTCCTTTTCAAATATAAAATCACCAAACGAAATGGTATATAAAAGCCTTCTGGTGGCGAAACGGAGTTCGCCGGGTTTACTAGTATTATCTATAATTATAGAATATAGAACAGACTTTATTTAGTCACTAATAAGTTAGTTAAAAAACTAATTCCACAACAGTATGATGTTTAAATAATTTTAAACAGAAAATAAATTATATTAAATCGCAAATTTGTATCCTTTTATAATATAACATGTACTTATGTCCTAATGCTGGTAAATCTTCCATGTGGAACTATCTACAGATAGTACAGACAAATTAATTTATAGTTTATACTTTATATATATAGAGAATCCTTTATTTTATGAACATTTTATAGAACCCATAAAACTTCATTACATCCAAGATGATAAAGCCCGCTACGTCCAACTATACGTAACATTAAATATTAAGCGTTCAATTTAGTTTCTGCGTCGCGTTACAAATTTTCGCCAGCCTGTAGCTTTGGGAGCGTTCAAATATTACGTAACGCATTTTTCGAAGATTTTTGACCCCCCCTTCCCCCGTCGTAACGCACAGTAACGTTTTTCTGTAGCCCCCCCCCCCTTCTCAAAACGTTACGTAACACTCAAGTGATCAATTTCATCAAAAGACTTACAATGCAATCTATGTATTCCCGGTAAAATATCAATTAAGAGGTTTGCAAACTTGGAATAACAAATAAAAATATCGACCAGACTAATACAATCTGGTCAACAATGCAATGTATATGAAAAGAGTTGCCAGTTTGGGGGTTTTTATTAATATATTTTTTTAGAAACAATGTTACGTAACGTTTTGTAAGAGACACCCCCTCCCGCCCCAGTAACGCATCGTAACGTTTTACGAGACCCCCCCCTCCCCCAAAATTGCGTTACGTAATACTTGAACGCTCCCTTTCCTTATTATAAATCTTCACAGCTTAGAAGGATTAAGCGGACACGAATCTTATCTTACGTCCCCAGCTAAGTAAAACCAAATTCATGAAACAATGCCGAAAATAGAAGAATGAATGTGTTTGTGAAGAATAAAAACCGGTCATTCAAATAATAATTAATTGGAATGGTTAGTATTTAAATCTATGAGTACATTTCTTTAACAATGCTAAAAGTATTAACGAAAATAGCAAGAATTATGTTAATTTCATGATAATTTTTTTGTACTTTGTTCTACGAACTATTGATATAATGTTTAACTGTTATTGATTATATGTTTTATTTAAGCAAGATAAAAGGAATACCTATACATAAAAAAAACCAAATGCCAGTTATAAATATATCATGATATTAGTGGAGCGTTTTTTCAAGGTCTACTAAATTTAATTCTCCTGGCTTAAACTATCACAAAAATGAGCGTGTTGCTAAACACTTTCCAAGGGACTATACAAAATGATTATGTAAAAAATATTATGATATAAAAACAAATTAGTTATATCAACTTGGAAATTATTTCAAATTATATCCGAAAAACTGATAATGAAAAAACACCCCTATTAACTGTAAAACATTAATTATACATATACATTTAATCATCAACACAAACTTAGTCTGTGAAAATGTCACTGTCAAACTCACATTCATGCATTGTTATAAGTTCAAAAATAATTCAAATAAAAATATGATCATAGAAGAACTGCATAAGTTTTAAGTATCTCTCTCTATCTCTTAAAAACCACAACATGAGATGGTCTTATAATTTTTTTGCTTAATCGTATACGTTTGAAGTATTGTGAATATTGAAGCACCCGGTAAATTTGTATCCTTAAAATGGAAGACCAGTCACTTAATTATATGCGGGAAAGTACACGAAATTTACTAAATTTTAATCGTCGGAAACAGAAAAACGAATTCAGTGATATCCATCGTCCTCTCGAAGATGTCGGGTGATTAAAAAAAATGCTTTAAAGAACGTACATACTATTGTTTATCTATAATAAGTATAAATTTTGGAACACTTAATTTCAGGATCACATCCGAAATAATAGCAGAAATATCAAATAAATTACATACCAAGTCTTCCATATCTGCTAAAGAATTGCAAATACTCAAAAATGGTTTGATGGATCCTAAAAATGTGGAGATATTTCTACATGTGCATGGTGCTTTAAGAGGTCTCATTAGGGAGCTAACATGTAAGGAGATTCTGGTAGTTATTTAACACATTAAACATTACTAAAATAATAAAAAAATTATATCTTTGTTAAAATAAGAATTGTGATAATTTAAACATAAAATTGATAGCTAAAACCAAGGTTAGGAGTTCTGTATTACTTAAAGACAATCCACACCAGTTTTTCTTTTAGAAGTATCAAAAAACAATTACAATACATAAGGTTAACATTTATGTGTATAAATTCCAGGTTCCGATATTAAAAAGCAGTGTATATCAGCTGGTTGTGTTTGTAACCTGTCTCTTGGAGACAGTGGAGGCTGCAGCATCATTGCCAAGGCCGCTGGGCCATACCTCAATGCTTCACTCGATAATCTGACTGTGGAACTAGCTGTGAGAATGACTAAATACCCTAAATTTATAGTCAAAACTAGTAACATATAATTTAATTATATCGACATGACATTAATATTATAATTATACCAATATTTTGTTCCTGTGTCTGAACCAAAAGTACTGTTTCTGAATTATTTTTCATTACTTATTGACTGCAACCTTGTCTGTCTGAACTTTGTAATTATGTAAATTCAATGAGATATATAAAGTGTGTTGAAAAATGAAACATCACCTATTGTATTCAACTGGTAGTGTCATACATCTTTTAGATCTTGAATCTGTCATCACAGCACTATGTTCCAGATAATATATATCATAGCATATTATATATTGGATATTATAGTTACAATACTATAGAAGTTTATCAAAATCAATACAGTAATTTTTGCCCATAGAAGCAACAAACATTTATACATTCCTACTAACATAACGCTTATAAAATTTGTTTTATTTATTATTGTTTATATATAAGTATTGTTATAGAAAATTGTAATACCTAATTAATTTCTTATTTCCAGGTAAACTGTGCTTGGGCACTCGGTAATTTGGCTGGATCTGATGTCAAAGTATGTAAAATTCTGGTGACTCAAGGAGCCCTGAACAAATTGTGCAAAGTTTACATAAACGAAGACATTCAGAATGCTGTTTTATATGCCCTGCTGCACTTTGTATATCAATTGAAAGATGAGTTGAGGCAAGTAATAATTTTAAGTCAAGTCTAAAATTACGTATTTTTTAGGTCTTGTATATTTTTATTTTTTGTACTTATGAAAGTTTTTTTCGTACTAATGTACTATAATAGTTATTAAGTGGCAGTATGTAGCAGTGACAACTTAAATTTGGAAAATCTAGCCCTAGGCCAAATTCAAAACCATTAAAATCAATATAAATGAATGAAGCCCTAAATATCAATATTTTTTTAGAACATTACCTTTTACAGTTTCTTAATAAAGAACACAGCATATTCTTCTTATCTCTTTATAAATAGTACATAAAATAAAGTCACAGATAAATTATGATCTTACATTTAAAATTATACTTAATTGACTATAATCTCTATTCCAGGCCAGAACACTTGCAAGAAATCCTGCAAATGATTACAGAACTGGAAATAACTACATCTTCATCACAGATACTCTTCATATTATCATGTCACGAGAATTTCCCAGAACACATTTCAGATCAATTATTAAACAAAATTCTTCTCAAAGTCACATCTTTAATACAGTCACAACAAAATATCAAACAGGAATCAGATTGTGAATTAGTTTATTTAATACGGACATTAGCTAACTCAGGAAGGTTTGATTATATCTTGAATTATTTATTAATGAATCAGATGTCATTAAAACTATTGTTAGGTGATAATAATGAAATTAGTCAATCTGTGTTATGGTTGTTAGGTAATATGTATAATTATTGTAGTGATAAGGAAATGTTTTGTAAATTTATTAATTCATAAATAACATTTTTATAAGTCATTTTTATTTTGTTTTAAAGTTGTATTAAACAGATTGAATCATTAGTTTCTTACTGAAGGTATATATTGATGGTTCCTATGTATAAGGGCTAATGTAGCAATTTAGCCATTTAATTTATTTGCTTTAAACACTTCATAATATTGTATTCCACAACATCCATTTATAAAAAATTGTATTTGTTGGTAGAAAGACTTCATTTTTATTGCATAAATAATCAAAAGTAAGACACCTTTTAACACATCTGGGATTATATATTGTATAGTATTAAAAATATATATATTTAAAAAACTAGTAGGTTTACAAGCGATTATCAAGCTTAAATGACATACATGTATGTCTTTGTTGCTTTGTAGTTTCTAAAGCATCAGTTGTCACATGTACAAGATAGATTGAAATCAAACTATATGGTTTACTTAATTAAACTTTAAAAACTTTCTTCTGTAAAAGTGTAATTTTGCACATTGGCCCTTATATTATGATAAATAAAACACATGTATATTTGCAATAAATATATTATTATATTAATTTGGATTAATTGTTACCGCTACAGATTAGTATGTCTCACAAGTGTAGCCAACTGTTCGCACAGATCATATAACTCGCAATCATTATAACTTTATGAAAATCAAAGTCAAGATCTACAAATATTAACTTGTATCATGCAGATAAAGTTTGTGTATGTTTAAATTGATATTGGCAACACTGTGCGAACAATAATCAAAATGGCAGTCTTACTTTTAAACTACTTCATTTGGAATGACAATGACCATCCCTGTCTCAGCAATAGACAGTTGAGCATTGTTACATTTAATACACATTAATTATAAATCACTAAAGCAACATATAAATAAAACAATCCATTGCTCACTTTGTTTTAATCTAGGCACTTTAAATTGAGAAATAGTTAAATTTGATCTCCCTTTAACATATCATTTAGAAAGCTTTTAGAAATTTTAATGGATCTCTTAAAGAACATACAAATTTTCTTTTCACTCATTGTCTTAATGTTTCAATAAAAATTTACTGATTTAAAAAATGTTCTATCATGTCTCTATTAACGAATACAACAATGAAATAATATTAATATTATTTTAAATTGTAATTCATATTTCTAATTTAAGGAAATCACTTTTAAGTAGTTTAGTTATCACAATTCTCAACATGTCGTTCAAGATCTTAAGATTCAAACGTTGCTATATAACACAACTCGTGTTATAGCGATCATCAATTTGCTTAAAACATGCATTATTAGACTCATCTTTTCAAAACACACGATCTAAAATTTATAAAACTCATCTATTGGGTGAGGTGTTAAATAAATCTATGTATAGAGTGAGTACACTTAATCGAGATTAATACAGAGCTTGTAAGATATTTAAAAAGTATATTATGTCAGTTTAAGGATACATTGTATGTAATTTAACTTTGTTTATTAGGTTCAACGTAACGGCCCTAAGAAGAAGCTCTGTAGTCCGCTCTAGATTTATAAGAATTAAGAATTAGTATTTGGTGACAAAACGATTTAACTACAGTTCAAGGTTAAAATCTGACGTCTACTTATCGTTCAGTAACGAAAAGACAATTCAGAACTCATTACATTAATAAAAAAGTGACATGGTATGTGAGGTTAATTTTTGATTTTTAAACTAATAAAAAATAGGTCAATTTGACTTTCAATCAGATACATCTGACGTGACTACTATGTTGATGAATAATAGAAGGTTAACAATAAGGAACTATGATTAAACTAAAACAATGTAAGCCATTTAATAAATAACTCTAATATTATAGAGAAACTGACATGCGAGACAAGCTTGTCAGATAAGTAATATGTAAAGCACAGAAACTATCTGTGAACTAAGAGGTATAGGAGAATTAATATTTTTTGAATTATAGGTACCCCAGTAATTGCCGACCTTGCTGACAAGCAGGTACGTTTGTTTACAATATATTTTTGTACCTAAGTACGCGTGTATATCCCACATGAAATCGTGCTTGTTGTGGTGATCGGAAGGAGAGCGAGGTCAATTTATAACTGTCATTCACTGTGATAAGACTCACAGCATTGATTAACAATTAAAATACACAGTCAACTAAAAATCTTTTAATGTATGTCGATAATTGATATATCCATAGAGCCTATCCTATTCCTAACTCACAGTAGTTATAAAAAGCTGGTTCTGATCAGGTCCGAAAAATAAAAAGTAAATTTGCTTTAATCTAGCAGTGTTTACCTACCTTTCGAGTACAGTACATATGAGACGAACAAAATTATTGATATTTCAGCAACTACGATGCCGATAATAATTATATATTTTATAGAAGATAATAGACAAGATATTTGTAGGTATATGTGGTGAGCGGTGAGGGGCTACGTGTGGTCCGAGTGTTTGCGGTGCGTGCGACGCCGCGACCGAGACTCGCCCGCGCTCACTGAGGACAAACAAAATATATATTACTATATAATATATCAGTATTAGGGTCAATTCATCATACAGCGCAGACGGTTTATTTCATTCTTTTACAATTACAACACAATCTATCAAATGCTGGTTATTATAATTTAGCCCATGAGGGTTTAGTAACAGCCAAGAAGATTACACGAATTATATATAAAAAAAAGATTTTTATTATTATCGATTTAAGATAGTTGATAATAATTAATATATGTCATGATGAAGCTGACACCAGATCCCATTAACCACAACACACGTATGATTCATATTAGTTAGCGGGAAAGTAACAGAACAGGGTTAATAAAAGCGACATCTATTACATCTTCCCGAGTCCCAACATGCATTTATCATTATAACAATCGACAAACGTTTCTATATATTCAGTTCTCACCGTCGGTGTGATGTATTAATTTAGTTACCACTATTTTCAACTCGGGGTATGTGGACAATGGCTCAGTCGTTTTCGTTCTATTTAAATTATCGTTCTTTATTGATTTTAATTGTGATACTTCTGAAATTCAACAAAATAAACAAAAAATCCTAATTATATAAAAAAAGGTAATTTAATAAATATATTTATATTTTTTAATAGTACGTTACCCGATGCCGCCGGATCTTCGGGATTCTTTCCGTTTGTTGTTTCTCCATTTGTTGGTTGGCTCTTTTTATTTTTGTCGTAACCGTAACCTCGAACGCGCGTGTGATCTGTACAAAAAGAAACAAATGTCACTTGTGTCAACTTATAGAACTGTCATTTAAATAAGACTTTCGCGAGTATTCATTTAAATGAAACTAATATTTTTCGAATTATACTACGCGCATTTTTTATTAAAAAAAACTACATACTACCTATACTACTACTACGCTTCGATTACTTGTCAGCAAATGTGATGACATCTCGTCTGCCCGTGATCACTGTTGCTAAAAAGTAACTGACAAGTCGGGAGTATGTAGTTTTTTTAAATAATAAAATGACATCAAGTGTCAAAGTTTAACTCACTATTAGCATACACTGTCGATCGTGCAGCTGAGTTTAGTTCTGGAAGCGTCAGCGGTCTTCTGTTATTTCTATTTCTTGATCCCATGCTGTACTCTCTGTAATAATGTGTTACTTAAATCAGTTTTTATTGATATAAATATCAATTAGTACTTCGCAGTTTGCAGCACTCAACAAGTTTTATTAGAAAACGTTGTGCAACAGTAACATCGATAGCTCATCTCACAATGTACCTAATATTTCTGGTAGAGATCTCTTTTAAGAGATAAGTTATCCTTTGTACATCACATTTCTTTTATAATACTTTAATTGTAACTATTTTTTCTTTTTGGTACGTTAATAAAATAAAAAAATATATATATGAAAATAACATATTATACCTCCTGCTATCTATCTATCCAGTAATGTTGGTATTTATAATAATTATTGTATAATATCTATGCATTCTCGAATTATTTACTAAAAAAAATACAAAAACTCGAGAACAGGATTCGAACCGGCGACTCATACACATAGTTACAGTCGCGTCATCGAATGAGCTATTGTTCCTATTGGAGACATGTAATATCATCAATCATCAATCATTTTATATATTTAATCGTCGTATTAGGATCGTATATCGAGACGTGGCGTCTAATAGAATTACAAGAATATCATATCAAACAAACAAACAGCTCCGGTGTCTTGTCTTATCCATAATAAAGAATATATATATGTTTTTTATGCTAAAAGGAGCAAACGAGTAGACGACGTATCTGATGGAGGTAGTACCGTCACCCATGGACATTCGGGCCATTTTTTGCATAAGTTTCGCTACCCTTGGTTACGGTAGAGGGGGAGGAAAAAGTGAGAACGGGAGGGAAAATGGAAAGGGCAACCGTCTCTCTCACTCATCGGACGAAACGCAGCCATTTAAGACTACTTCACGCCGATCTTCTGTGAGAGGGTAGTACTTCCCCGGTCGAGCTAGCCCATGTTCAAGCTATAGTGACTTGACCACAGCTAGACTCTAACACCTCAACATTATAATCTGTTCTTATCTATACTAATATTATAAAGCTGAAGAGTTTGTTTGTTTGTTTGAAAGCGCTAATCTCCGAAAGTACTGGTTCGAATTGAATAATTCTTTTTGTGTTGGATAGTCCAGTTATCGAGGAAGGCTGTAGGCTATATAACATCACGCTACGACCAATAGGAGCAAAGATATAGTGGTAAATGTTTAAAAAACGGGAGAAATTATTTCATCTTTGAAGCCTTCCGTTGCGTGCGCCGTGAAAACGGTTCAAAATACACAAAAAATATGTATTAAAGAATAATATCTCTTTTAATGATCTAAAAAACAGTTCGCGACAGTATATGTCTATCTTTTAAGATGAACTCACAAAAACCGTTTTTATGGTACCTAATTTGGTCGAAATAATTTGTTTAAGTTGTATCAACATAATAATATTAATCTTTATTCAAATAAACAAATAAATATGTTGTTGGTTAAGAGTACTTCATTGTGAATAAAAAAAAACATAGGTTTTATCCTGAAAATTCTACGGGAACTCAACCATTCCGAAAACCCCGAAATAACGGGAACTATGTGGGAAGAACCAAAAATCTGCCGGAAGTCACTCAAGTCAGTCAAGTCGCGGCAAAAGCTAGTAACACTATATAATTTACTTACTCTCTAAGCGGTTCTCTCCAAAACTCTCCATATACAGGTGGGAAGGCGTAAGTGTTCTGGTAACCTAAGGCGTCCAGGCCGCTGGCGCGCAGACTCGCGTGAAGAGAGTTCTTCATACACTGGAGCTGGAGAGAGAGAGGAACAGGTCAGTAACAGAATGAGACAGTACAGTGTAACAAACGACATGCATGGCATTATATTAATATTTACCTAGCAGCCTCTTCTTATAGCGTAAGAAAATCAAATGAGTTTGCTTTAAATGAGGCTGTGATTATGTATCAGAGAGTGCAGCAAAGTTACAAGAAGCGAGTACGACGGCGCGGAGAGGGAACTGTACACAGACTAGTGATGGCGCGGAGAAGAGACTAACGAAACGACCGTCCCGTCCGCGCCGGCAGACGCTACTGCGGCTGTTGTTTCATGAGCAAGGAACCAAGAGCGCAGTAGCGAGGTGAGGCGGTGAGGTGTCATTCCCCGCTGGTAACGTACGTGCGCGTGTCGCGCTGCCGCGCCGTCGAACAGTAGGTTGGTGACGCCCGCGCCCCCGAGTACCTCTCTCCGCTGCCGCTCCGCGTCCGCCCGCAGCCGCCGCACCAGCCGCTCGGCCTCCGCCAGCCGCACGCGCAGCTCGGCGCGGCTCTCCTCCTCCCCTGCCCCTGCCCCGCCCGCCGAGGACACCCCTCCCGCCTGACGCAGTTCCAGCTCACGCAGCTTTCTGTAGGCAGGAATGTTACGTCACTACATGGTAGCGTGAGGAGCCTCCCCTCCCCCCTTCCCTCTCCCCTCCACTCACTCGGTCTGCTCATCAAGCATCCTCTGCAGCTGTATCTCCCTGACGCCGGCCGCGCGCGCCTCCCCCCGCGCCACACTCGCCTCCCGCTCCAACCGACTCACCTCCTTACGAAGACGCTCCTGAAACACAATGACAGTTCCTACGGTTACATTTGTATAGACAATAAATAAGATCACATTTTTGAATAAAAAGTTTCGCATTCAATAAAGCAAATCGTGAAATATACAAAAATATTTAAAATAACTCGTGACTTTTGTTTTCGAATTAAGATTGTTATCCAAATTACTTATCTTTGAAAAAGTAAAATAACAACAAAATTCTAAACAACTGTCCATCGCATAACAAAGGTAAATCAAATAAAATAACTTGTTATTATAATCAAATAATGTTACATACTGCAATTGAAATTTCTATGTACATTTAATATGATTGAACCAGTATCACAGACCTCATTACTCTCGTCCTCGACGGCTGTAGTGTTCTTCGGAGTCTCCTTGTTGAATATTAATTGGAATTGCAAGTCTGAAATACAGCAGTATATATACATCACATATAAGGCTCATAAATAGCACTTGTTGTGACTTAAACAGCGGCTGGTCAATTCTAATATAAATATACTAAATGTAAATTAAAATTACATAAATAGGTTACGGTACATACGGAACTTTCTTATATTTACTATAGAATGCCAAATAATAAGACTTTTTCTATGAATTAACATTGTGATGGCAAATACTCAAGTTTGTTTTTCATTATCATTACAATAAATTTGATCGTTTTAATTAGCAACTTAGATAGGACTATTATAATGATTAAAAAGGCAGACATACATATAACGCTAAGTAAATGTACATTAATCAAATAAGGCAATCACCAAAATAACAATTCTATAGCAGTTCATATGTATAGTTGTCTTGTATTATCTTTTCGTACCTCTGTTTCTCTCTCTCAAAGCCTCAATCTCCGCGTGTAGTCCGCTCAGCATCAGTCTGTGTTGTTCTTGTAGGAAGCGTACACTATGTTCGAGGTGAACCACGCGGGCAGCTGCATCACCTGTTATAAACAACCCGCTGGTCGTAGATTCCGGAGACGATTTCTTGAGCTGGAATTATTTAAACCGTACAATAATACTAAGTAATAATAATAATTAATAAAAATTTATATCTAAGCTTAAAGTTATTTATATTCTTATGTTTATTGGGAATTCTTGTAATAGGAAACTAGCGCCATCTGTATGATATTGTAACCTACCCTCACCTAAATATGTTACCTTGAGTAGGATAAATGCTGGACGAGTGATTCTGTTACATTGTGGAGTCAAAGACATCTAAGTGGAAGAACTGCCTAAAATTATTTCTAACAAAAGATAATAATATGTTAAGACTCAGACAATTAACTTTTAGTTGAGGGACAAATGATGATGCAGGTTACTTTCAACAGTGAAAAATAAGGTGAAATCTCTTAAAATCTGACCAAAATATACTAGTAGGTAAACTTTAAAACGAGCTGTAGATAGTTCGAGCTTTAGTAAATCCAATAATGAATTATCTTTTTATTAGATTTATTATCTAAATATAAACTTGATTCCATAGTGACTCAGCTATCCTACGCAATCTAAGATTAGCTAAGGACGATAGTACTAACTACTAGGTACTTACATTATTATTGACACTGTGAGTAACGAGAGTATTGTTATCACTAACAATAAAAACTATATACATGTCGTTATTCTCTCACGAAAATGATCTAAACGAGTGTAGAATGAGGTATTTGAATAATAAAAGGTTCTTCAGAAGGAGGGGAAAACCCATTGAATATTCTATAGATTTCCCATGAAGTCAACGACCGACCATCTCTTTGTTTTGCTCGAACGTATGATTATATATATTTTATTTTCTATCGCTGTTACTTATCATTTTTATGGTGATTAAAGAATCGATTTAAAAGCACTTTTAAATGATAAACCAAATTATAATATTAATGACTTCATCTTATCGCTAAAATTAAATTATGAAAATAATGTACGTCGTTATTTTATATGTATTAATTAGTTATGAGAAATTAATTATACAAAGAAAATATTTCAATCGACCGGAGAATATTTTAAAATATTATTTATTACTTTCGTAAGGAGCAAAATATAAGGACGTATATACATTATTATAAGAGGCCTACCTACCTGTAATTTGGCAAACGGTGCCGTCGGCACGAGCACCTTGGAAGCCATCCTGTACCTACACCGAGCTACACTGACACCTTTGTTGTGATCTAAGCCTAACACAACACACGCGCTCGCTCTCCGCACAGGCTGACAGACATTTGTGATACTAACGGCGGGTACGAGCTCACGAATAATAACAAACACTAACAAGTAACAACACAACTGAGACTAACTACGACCTTGAATTGACTTTGGAAGGCGCTTATAATGTTTATCACATCATTCTGTTACAGGTGCAGTGAACACGGCTGCCGAGGGTGTGCAGGGGGCCGGAGTATCGATCGCGCAGACGCACAGGTCTTCATGACTCATAGGAGTCTGTCTGACAGACGCTGACGGTGGCGCGATGCCAACCTCTCTCACACTCAACACTCACTAGCATAGCATATACATTACATCGACTACTTTTATTTAATTTAACTGTCTGAACATTAGGTACAGTCTTTATTTTAATCTCAATACTGTATTTATATTGTTTAGTAAATAATATATACTACTTATATACATATATTTGAAGTTAGGCGATATTATAATTATGCGAGATGTAGTATTCTACGGTGATATTCAAGTTTAATAAAAATGTGTTTAAAGATAGTAAATACTTAAAGTAATCAAAAATTACGTCTGTAGATAAATATTCTTTATTACTTCGTTTATAATTCAAATTGAAAACTAGATTGCCATTAAAAACGAGGATATCTAATATTGCAATCTTAGTCATCGCTTGCAGATAACAGGAAGGAGAAATATTAATAATTTAGATCTATGAATCCAATGAGGAATATAAATTGATATATTGCATTCTGACACTATTAAATAAATCACAATAAAGACAGACGGACAAGAAAGAAAACATAACTCAACTTTCGTGTTTCATACTTATATTAAAAAGAATTTAAATAATAATGAGCTCACCAGCAGCGACATCAAACACTGACATGCCCTACAAATAAATTAAACTACATATTGATACAAACACGATACCATCGAAATGGAAGTGGGACACCGTCAGTTAATTGCATTCCAATGTATACATTTAGTTGTTTGCTATGACGTCACACTTTTTTATATTTAAAAGTGCTCTTTACTAATAAAAAGTTTATTGAGTATACATATTCAATATAAAGCACACAGTCACATAAATAAATGTGACGAGTAATGACTTGCTCCTGAAAAAGACTTTCCAAAAACCGTCATATTTACGAATCACGTATTTTACAAGGTATATTATGATATGATAAATTTTGAGATCATCATTGTACGGTCACGTAGTCATAGTGATATATCGCCTTTATATTATGCTCTAACAACAAACCAAAATATTAAATACCAAAGCAATAATCCTAACAGATTACTTAGCAGGAAAAATGGAAAATATATATGTAGAAGGTCTTAAAGAATATAAAGGTTAATGCTTGACATTTGAGAGGACGTGCCCTTGTTTAAAAACACTTAGTTTAATTAAATGCCAGTGTAGGCTTCCCTCTTCATAGGTATAAATACTATTATGTATCTAGAATATCTTTGAGTATCTGTAATTCGTTTAACTTTTACCGCTCTTATTTACAAGATATTGTTCAACTTTATTCTTTGCTCTTTGAGACCGTCAGGCGCCAAATTCAAAATCTTTAAAAAGTACAAAACTTACATTCTTCATAATATTTTTAACTCAAATGTTATCATTATATATTTTAGATGTAAGTGCAGAAATGATTATTGTATTATATCGCCTATATTATTTGTAATAATTCAAAAACGTTCTTATTTAAACATCCATTTCTCTTCAAGGTATATCAATAATGGTTCATATAATTCCTCATATTTACCTCATCAGTTTCTGAAGTTCCATTGGTAATAGTGAGTATCGCAGTTCGGCTCCACTGAGGGAAATGTCGTGCCAGTGGCAGCACCGATGGTAACGACGGCGCTCCCATCACTGACGGACTACACAACAAACAACTTAAAACATAATTAAAAAAATATAATATAAAAGTTAGATCAAGTGATACTATTTTATTACAGTGATATTGATTATAATTAAACTTAGTACGAGAAATTAATTACAAAACGTACATCATAGTTTTAAAGACTTTTACTAGTGGGTAAAATTTAAACGATTTGTTGCTTGGTTACCACCAATTAAAAAAAATTAAATATGAGATCTATTTGTTCCTTGTGTTATATATTTGCTATTTCTTTATTTCCAGATTGTAACTATAAATTATTGATTTTTTGGTCCTTTTATATGAATTTTACTTCAAAACTACTAATATCTATAATACCTCATTTTAACTTATATTTTATCTTACTGGTAAGGGGATCCGATATCAATGACTTCCGGTCAGCCGTCAAATTTAAATATCTACAAACAAAACAAGAGCTTGTAATTTCGATTGCGTTGGATAATTTGAATTTATTAAAGTATTTGAATATATTTCTGCATCTACTAATAATTTTTGATATTTTATATTTCTTTTTATACTCAGTATATTATTTTAATGGAAACTTGCGTTAGAGGATTTTCATTTATGCCAGAAAATAAAGTTGATGTGGTCGAATTAAAGGTATTCTAAGTAATAATATGTATTTAGAGAAAGGCGTAAAATACTGCTTGAATGCTTTTAATTATCACACATACATTTTAGTTCGTTGAGAGTGAAGAATTAGAGAGAACATGGAAAGCCGAAAGACGGGAACGGCTTAAACATCAGGAGCAAAAGATATGGGAGGAATTTGTGAAAGAACAAGATATTGTTCACAGCTTATGCAAAGGTAACCAATATTTCATTTGGAGTATATAATTTAAGTGCTTTTGATACTAAAATATAAGCTCTCAGCATATACATTCTTGTATTGTTATTGAAACATCGAATTTGAGTGTGATAAATTATTTATATGTATATGAAATGTTTGTTAGATAATAATATTAATATTCTCCAGTCTTGCTGTCTTAAACAGAATTTTTAGTGTTCTTCATACCACCTATTAAACTGTGATGTTTATACTAATCTGCTTCTAGATGATCCGTATCAATTTGTGGAACGTCTGCCACAAGAATGTATCAAGGAACTCCTTGATTCAGAGCTACAGAAGATGAGACGAGAGAAAATAGAAGAATTAGAAGTAGGTTGGAATTATTGTAATAATTAATATCTATACATCACATATTTATTATTTTAGATGTTATATGTATTTAAAGGTCAAAAACCTGCCTAATTAATACTTTCTTCCTATTAAAAGTAAAGTTTTCATGTTATTTAAGGCAAAAAGCTTTCAGCCAGGTTTGTATTCACCTGCGGTATTGATAATATCTCTCAAGCTGGTTAAAAATTTTATATGATTTGCAAAGACTTTCCAATTCATTCAAATATATTTGGTCTGTAATTTTGACTAGGTATTATGATTCACTAAAATTATCTACAGCAGAGTAATTAGAAAACATAAAATTAATAAAACACTGGTAGTGTTGATCCAAAGAGAATTTCATCTGAAATCTGTACTGTTATTAAAGAAATAAATACATACTTCTTCTGTTTTTGTATTTGTTTTTACTAAATATATAGAGTATTTAATAAAACTATATTAAATTGGTACATGTATTGTGCTAAATGTCAAACTAAATGATAGAGCCTTATTGTTATGTATTAGTTATGCTTGCTCAATATTGTTAAATAATAATAGGATGTCAAGTATAATGTAGGTAGATTATTTTATATTATTAGTTGCTGTCATTCAGTTTGCTCCTTAGCACAATACATACATGACTTAATTAATATTGTTTTATTGAATACTACACTTAAATAATAAAGTGATCTATACTTGACATCATATTTTTTAACATTACCGACCAAGTATAACTAATACATTACAGTATGTTATGGAAAAAGTATAACTGGCTGATATTTTAATAGTCTATGTATATTTTTGAAGTTAAAGGAACAGCCACCAGTGGAAGTTGAGCCTCCAAATAACCAGCATGTAGTGACCTTCGTTGAAGACTCGGAAGAAGATTTAAATATATATGATGAGGAGAAAGATGATGATGATGATGTGTCTGGTAAGTTGGTTATAAAGAATAAATAATAATGACATTATAAATAACTTTTTAAATATTTTCTTTATAGAAATTGCTAGGGATATTTTTATTATATGAAATTCTGTATACAGGGTGACTGGTGAATTACTATCAATATTTAAGGAGCATACTCGGTACATGATTCTCATTCGAATTAAGTAAAAAAAATAGGCACTTAATTTTTGACAAAATTTCCGTATAAATAAGTAAAGTGTTGACACGTTCCAAGTGTTCAAGTGTGGACGCGTGCGGCGACGTGTTGATACAACACCACGTCACGACATGCGTATGTGTGAGTGTCAGTGTATACCTAATCTGTAGGGTGTTCATACGATGCGTAATTAATTACATAACTTTTGGTTAACTTTACTTAGAAGTTTATTAATATTTATGTTATATTAATTTTTATTTTTTCATATATGATCGTCAAATATCTCGTCCTCAAATATTGATAGTAATTCACCAGTCACCCTGTATATTTTGTCGAAACAATTATCTATGAAATTGAAGTGTCTATTATGGTTTATACTTGCAATACATAAAAAAGATATGCATCAAAGATTTTTAATTTATTTTTTTGTGATTTAATTTTTTGGTTTAATTTTTACTTTGTACATAATGGATTTTATGTTGGAAATTATAACAATTAAAGTCATAAAATAACAAAAAGTGGCATTTAATTTCGGTTTCGGTTTTAAGACTTTTATTTGTCATAAAGAACACAAAAGTTCACTTATAATAAGATATTACAATAATTTTGCATGAGGATAGGTACATTTAAAAGTCTGCCTTATGAATTATATACAGTGAAATAAAATTTTGCTGGTAGAATTTAAGTTAATAATCAGTATTTCTTCCCCTAATAAAGTTTATTAAGTTATTGAAATGGAGCTGTGGTATCAGGTCCCAGGTTCTTTTCAACTTCAGAAAAAGAAAGAATTTTGAAAAAAAATTTTTTGACAATAATTCACCATAGCTCTTGGTAGTAACATTTCCATGCGTGTTCAATGGGATTCATATCGGGGGACTAAGCGGGCCAGTCGATAACCCTGTTTTCATATTCCCTAAGCATAGTTGATACCACTTAGCCGTATTTTCACGGGCATTATAATATATGAGTTGAGACTCCTGAACTATTTTTACCCTGTGTGGGACAATCACAGGTTCCATTGCCTCATAGCGGTATTTCACTGCTAAATATTCTCTTTTATCCAAATGAGATCGGTTACGATGCGAATACCAGCCCATACCATAATAGTGCTTTGATAAGAATGGACTTCTTGTGAATGCTGGTGACGGCTTCATCTGCCAGGAACTCGCAAAACCCTTATATTCGTGAATCCGGATGAAATGCAAACCGAGACTCATCAGAAAAAAATATAATGGACCATTTCTTATCACTCTATGCGAAATGTTCTCGAGCCCACAATAGTTCCTAGAAAAGTTTGAACCCGAAGTTGTCAGCGAGAATGAAGATCAGCTTCATGTAATCTTCTTAAAGTTTGGTCACTAATCAATGTGGTCAGATCATAGCCTCGAACCATTTGCACAGCTGGATTGTCTCCTAGCGATATTTTGAAGAAAACGGTTCCGTCTATGAGTGATGACGCAATATCTGTCTGAATACCTTTCAGCGACATCACCTGCAGCATGATATAATAACCATAACCGGGAAATTGCATTTTGGCCGTTTTGCTGAGTTTCAGCAACCACGCTTTTTATAGTTCCCACTTCAAACATGCCTACAGTTCTAATCTGCTCTTTTCTTGTCAAATGTCGACGTGACATAATAATAAATGTAACACACCTTGAAATAAGGAAAATTGGATATAAGAAAAAAATGTTAACCACTTTTAATCTATCAGAACTTCACTGTTTTTTGTAACATGAGCTAACTTTTCGACGGTCAAATTCGTATAATCCACATTCTTTTGTTTCAAAATGAGTTTTGTTTTTTTTTTTGAATTTGGAAAGAAGTGGTGGAGAAGAAAATATTTTATATACAAACTTTTTTATACAGTAAATAGTTTTTAAGTCTATCATGTAGTATGCTTAGAAATTGTTGATGTGTTTTACGTTGTTTATGTTAAAACTTCTTTTTATATTATTAGATTATAAAAGAACAGAATACACGTAGAAAATTATAATACATATATACATATGTGTTTTATAATTAGAGTTTTGCTATTTTGTTAATATTAATGTACTATATGTTAGTTCATATATTTAACTATTACTGTATTAATTCCAGGTCCCGAGGATGAGTTACTGAATGACTCCATGAGTCCCCCTCTCACTGTGAGGGAGAGAGATGTACCCTCACCTGATAAGACATCTACCGAAGGTAATATATATATATCTCACACACACACACATAGATATGTCTATATATTTGTCATGATTTCAACATAATGTATGATTTTTCAGTCTATTAAATAGTTATGTTTTATTATTTTAATTTTGAAAAAAAATAATGGTTTTTAATGAACATTTAAACTATTTGACAATAAAAAATTTTTTACAATTTAAACAATTACAATTTTCATTGTGCATATTCCATTCAAATTAGTTCGCTCTATTCCACTCACAGAATGTTTTTATGAACACGGAATAATGTGCACACAATGCCGTCTTACCAATCACAACACTTTTTAAATTACGTAATTTTTATATCATACTAGCTGCACCCCGCGGTGTTACCCGTGGATTTCCGGGATGTAAAGTAGCCTATATGTTATTCCTGGACGTCAGCTTCCTGTATACAAAATTTTATTAAAATCGGTTCAGCCGTTTGAGCGTGAAGAAGTAACAAACATACACACACACTCACAAACTTTCGCAATTATAATATTAGTAAGATTGGACCACACTATTTATTTACTTAAAAATTACTGTAAAAATTTAATTTTAATCTTACTTAGTTATTTTATGTGCATCAAACAATTTATTAACTGAAATTTAATATCAAAATTTCATATTTCAGGTAAATCTTCTAATGAGAATGTCGCTGAAGTAATCGAGGGCAGCATATATTGTGCTAAAATAAAGGATCTGAGGATGAAGATTATTGATGAACTTAACAATATTATGTGAGTGAGACTCTGACAGAGTTTAATAGTTGCAAATAATATTGATATTTCTATTTAGCGTGTTGATTAAGGCTCAAATCTTCTCCATGTGAAAGGAGGCTTGCTCAGTAGTTAGTCGTGGGCTCTGATAGGCTGATGATGATGATATTTGTAATTACGAATTAACAGCTTTCACTTAACTATACATAGTTAAGTCATATTACAATATGACAGTATATACAATACTTGTATCGTAAAATTTTTGTCTGTGTGTCTGTTTGTCCCGGCTGGAGGTAATATGAGTCGCGAGTGAGGAATGTCAGGAAAACTAACATAGGTTGCTTCTTAACAGACTTCAAAAATGAGACAGGTCTATTCAACTATGTGTCCAATTATTGAATGAATTTGTACCTATCTTAAAGCAAAGTTACCGGCGACAGCTAGTCTTAATAATACTAATTACTAATCTTCTATCTTCTATATATATAAAAATGGATTGCTGTTCCTTAGTCTCGCTAAAACTCGAGAACGGCTGAACCGATTTGGCTAATTTTAGTCTTGAAATACTCCTGGAAGTCCAGGGAAGGTTTAAAAGGTGAGAAAAATTGGAATGATTGCCGAAAAAACTCTAAAAACAGCCCTTCTCTATTTCCCATACAAACGATTTTTTGACATTAGACTTGACTACTAACTAATATGTCAATCATTCTGTTCGATTGAAACAGTAGAAATTTAATAAATACCAATACCGGGTTATTGAAGACGGAATGGAGTTCGCCCGGTCAGCTATACCTATATTACTAATGACGAAATTAACGCGGACGAAGTCGCGGGCAAAAACTAGTGTTTAATATATTTAGTGATTGCTGTGATTACCTTTAAAAAGAAATACAATTATCAAGTGTGTTCAATTGTTAACTATATAATATTTGTAATACTATTGTCATTTCTGTTGGTGAACCTATAAAATAAATAAATAATAATATTAAGGAGATAATTATTAAATCATATATAAGTAAGCTGCTTTATAACTATACTAATATCTATGTTTTCCCTGTTCCAGGTCTACGTTATCCGTAGTGCCAGTTTTGAATCTGGACCCGGCAGGCCTGCCAGCGGCCATGAGGCGGGCCCGCGAGTTCAGCTCACGGTACCAGAGGATACATCTGTACCAGCTACAGAGACAGGTTGATATATGACTTAATGATATGTAACACATTGTGGGTAGTTGACTACTGAAATATTACTAGGATGTTTAGGTTTAATTCAAGTATATATCCATAATTTACAGTGTTCTTTTGTATCATATAAGACATTTTGTAAAGTCTTCATCAAATGTAATAATTGTATAAATTTAGAGAACAAAAATTTTATCTTGTCTGCCCGTAATCATGTTTCTTGCACAATACTAAGTAACTGAAACGTCCAGAGTATGTAATTTAACTATAAATACGCGTCCATGGTAACTCAAAAAATATAGTTTTTTTAATACGCACTGTAATAAATACTATAATATATATTTTATTATTATTACAGATATCCGACATAGAGCGTAATAACAGTAAGGCTCTACCGTTCGCCGCTCGCACACACTTCCAGGCTCAGCTGTGTAGAGTCGCCTCCGTACATAACAACCTGCTGCATGCTCTACAAGTATGTTATATACTATATAATATTATGTAGTTACTGAGATACTTATTACCCTTTTTATCAATACTAAATAACGCCCTCGGATGCTTAATGATAGGTATATAATATGGTGTCATGAGATGAAGTGGAATATTTGTACATAACTTTAATCATCGATATTTAACTTCCAAATGTAAGAATAAATAGGTTAACGAATAAATGAAAAAAATAAATATACAAAAATAATTATAAAAGAAAGTTAATAATCATATTTATCATAATATCAAATATTAATAGTTATTATTTAAAAACTGAGATTAATTCTCTAACCAGACTTTAATTAGAACTACTCGCTGTTTATTTTTCTTCTATGTGTGTGTGTGTGCAGGTGTTCGTGAAGGCAATCCCTCAGACGGTGTGTGTGTGTGAGTGCGTGTCGGTGCTGCGCGGCGTGTCGTCCGCGGCGCGCCAGGTGACGGCGGTGAGCGAGGCCGCGCGGCCCCGGGGACTCAGCGCCGCGGACACGCTATATAATGATGTTAGTACTACCGTATATACTATATATTGGGTTGTTCGGAAAGTCATTTCGTTTTTTTTGCGGAACATGAAAGATAGTTTTCGTATAATGAATAAATATTTTATTAAATTATATATTGGCCATTCTGGTCCAACACCTTTTGCCAGCTTTCTGGCAGTAACATAATTTCCCTCTCATAAAAGTTTTGGTCCTTGCTGACAAAAAACTGGTTCAGGTGGTTTTTGACATCTTCATTTGAAGTAAAGGTTTTGCCATCCAAAAAATTTTGCAGGGACCGGAACAAATAGTAGTCGGAAGGCGCCAGATCTGGAGAATATGGTGGATGTTGCAATACGTCCCATTCAAGCTGTAAAAGTTTTTGGCGAGTGTTCAAACTTGTGTGAGGTCTCGCATTATCCTGGTTGAACACTACACCCTTCCTGTTGATTAATTCAGGCCTCTTCTCTTTAAGTGAATCATTCAATTTGTCCAGCTGATGACAATAGACATCTGAATTAATCGTTGTATTGTCCGGCAAAACCTTAAAAAAAACGATTCCTTTGACATCCCACCAAACGGAGAGCATCACCTTTTTTTGGTTAATGTTGGCTTTTGACACACTTTTAGCCAGTTCATCTTTTCTGCTCCATTACCTCTTGCGTTTAACATGGTTGTATACAACCCATTTTTCATCCCTAGTAATAATCCGCTTCAAAAATGGATTATATTCTTGACGTTTGAGGAGCGAATCACACGCGTCGACGCGACGACACAAATTTCGCTCCGTAAGGTCATGGGGCACCCTTTCAAATGGCCATAAACGGCCAAAATCGACAAACTTAATCTCTTACCGATCTCTCGTGTGGTTATTCGCCGATTTGCATCGATTAATGCCTTTATCGCATCTTTGTCAGCTTCGACTGGCCTGCCAGAGCGTGGTGCACCATACACATCCGTCAATTTTTTTCTCGCTTGGATAGCATTTTTACCTTTTCTGAAGTAAAAAAGTAAAATATTACGAAAATACTGCTTATTGCTCTCCATATTTAAAAGGGCACCAACCAAAAATACTGCGTAGAATTAATAGAACTTTTTCACACACAAGCCTTGCAATATCAGCTTTCAAGACATATGTATAATGGTTATGCGGCTTAAGTGTGAAGTTGGTTTCGAAAAAACGTAATTAAGTCATCTGAGAGGAAAAAACGAAATTACTTTCCGAACAACCTATTATATTATGTAAAAGGCGGCAAACGAGCAGACGGCCTACTTGGTGGACAGTAATCACCGGTTTTTTAGGAATAGGGAAGAGGGGGAATAAGGAAGGTTCTTCTCGGTTTTTCTCATGTCAGAGTATTTTCTTTTCCGAACCGGTGGTAGTATCTCAAGTGACCATCAATAAGAAAGTGTAATGCTTCTATATTGAATAAATTTATTTGAGTTTGAGTTTGAGTTTGGAAGTACAGAAAAAGGTGGGAATAGAGAAATACCAACCGTTTCTCTCACTCATCGGACGAAACTCAGCCATTAAAGACTACCACGCCGATCTTCTATGAGAGGTTGATACTTCCCCGGTCGAGCCAGCTTATGTTCGAGCTGTAGTAACTTGAGTACTGCTAGGCTCACCTACAAATATACAGTATGTATTGCTTGTTAGCTGTTTAGTATATATAATGTACCATATCTTTACAGGCGATGGATGAAACATGCGGGAAACTCATGGAGACACTGGATGAATATGAGGCCAAGCTCACGGACTATATGAACAGTACGGTGGACACGGTGAGTTGTATATACAATACATAGGTAATATATACAAAGTAAGTAATTTATAGTTCGAAAGAAAGTTTAGACTAATTCATTTGAATCTATGGATTGACGACTAAATACTAATATTTTTGTCTAAATATACTAGTTTGGTTTTCCATATTGTAAAGCAAAACGAAACTTCTCATTATTCAATGTATTTATCGTACCGGTGTCGGGTCCATTGTTGTAGTGAGAGGAGCTTCAACAGTGACTGTGACTTGTGACACAGGTGTAGGTTTGAGGGACCCTATCTAACGCGCGTTAAACACTCACCTTCACCGTTCAAGCTCCTCTCTCTCTATACAATTTGTTTCCGTCACTTCTTCTATAATGTATTCTTCCTCAGAGCGTGTCCGTGTCTCGCAAGTCTCGTGTGAACAGTAAGAAGTCGGTCGGCAGTTGGACCAGGTCGGGGAGATCATGTAACTAACATTATGTATTGGATATAATTGTATTACTAAATCTTATTTGTAGCACAAAGCATATAAGATTTTATTCAATAAATATGGCAATTTTACAGATTATTTATTTGTGGTAGATAAAAAACGTACATAAGATAGCGATTTGATATATTAAGTAAAATATTAGAAAAGTGAAAGTCTCTACCACAATGGTAGTATTGATAGTCACAATTAACATTATCAAAACTTACATACATGTTAAACTATCTATATTTTTTATAAATCGTAATATATTTTCAAGCTTAATATGATAGTTGAATTCAATAAGTAGATAATGAGGGTAGTTAGTAAGAGTCTGTTCATATTAATATTAATGTGTATGTGTGTGTGTGTGTCAGTGTTGTCGTCAGCGGAGGCCCGCCTGTCCATGTACTCGCTGGACACGCGGCTCACACTCAACAAGTCCACCAGCTCCAGGGAACACTCCAGGTTATACATACATACTAGAATAATGAGATCTTAGACTCGCGATATAAATGAAACTAATATTATTCGTGTAGTGTTTATATCTATACACTTCTTCTTCTTCTACCTGGCAATTTATTTATTTATTTATTTATTTATATACTCTTTATTGTACACCAATATAGACAAATAATAGGATTAAAATAAAGAAAAGAAACAATGTACAATTTCCCAGCTTTAGCCAGAATCCGCCTTACATGTTGTGTTTTTACGACCGGCCGCCTGCCTGACATCAACCCTCTTTGGGGAAACATTAATCAGTGATGTCTAAATACTCTTAGAAAGTACATATGACGGGGAAAAATCACATTGGTACTTGCCCGGGCAAGGATCGAACCCGCGCCTTCGTGCGTAAAAGGTTAACCACTAGGCCACCACTGACTCCAACTGACTACAACTACAACTTACTGACAGACTGTTTATATCTATACCATAGATACAATACACTGTCTCACGTACCCCACTAGAGGGGGCGGCATTCGCTCGGCAGTCTCACGACTAGCGCGGAGTAGAACGGTGACGTGCGCCTACGCGCTTGGGTAGTAGTGAGCCAGTGACTAGTTATACTTATATAGACGACCAGTGGGTCCTACAATACGGATTATACTATATTTCATTATTGTAAAAATTACATACTCCGGTGTCGGTTACTTCTCAGCAACCGTGATTACAAAGATAAGATGTGATCACGTTTACTGAAAAGAAATTGAAACGTCGGGATTATGTAGTTTTTACAATAATAAAATACGCGTAGTATAATTTGAAAAATAGTAGTAACATTTAAGTCATATTAAATTTTCAACCTGTATACAGGGTGACTGGTGAATTACTATCAATACTTAAGGACGTGGTAGTTGACGATCATATATGACAAAATAAAAATTAATATAACATAAATATTAATAAACTTCCAAGTAAAGTTAACCAAAAGTTATGTAATTAATTACGGATCGCGTGGATACCCTAGCTGCGTTATCGACACAAAACAGTTATGTACGTAGGTATATGTAGTTATCGCGCGGTAGTTTACCTACATCCAAACGCCGCGCGCCGCCGCGTGTTAGACCTTAGATAAACAAAAATGATCCATTTCCCTTCATACTTTAATCCTGGCTTAGGACAGGCAAAAATACCAAGATGTTTCTTTCGTTTAAGCAACCAATTTATTGACTAGGTAAATGGTGTGACCTTGACACAAAAAATAATATGAACTGTTTACCTATCTTGGTATTTCCGGCGTATTTAAAAATGGAATCATACTTATTTACAACAATTGTCAATCATTAAACTACCTTTTACCTACATAACTACACTAACCTTAACAAATGTTCAAAGCGAGCTCCTTCTCGTGTGATACACAGTTCGGCACGTTTACACATATTGTCTTTCATACAATTTAATACGAATGGGTCACTTTCAATAGTTTTGAAATCACTATTGATTTTTAATTTCAACTCCTCTCTGTTTACATACTCTGTAGCATACACAAGACGTTTCCTTGGGCATGTGTTGGAACACGGAACTGTCCGAAGTCTCGTAATCTTTGATTAGCGTTTAAGATGACGCTGGCCGTAGGTACTCGACGATTGGGGAACATCTCCCGGTACAAATTGATTGCGCCCGGCAAGCTTTCATTTGCACGCGCATACGCATGAACCATGTCCAAGTATTCTGCATTTGTGTATTGAAAAGCCATATTTAATTACTAATAAGTAATAACGGGTCACACGCACACACGACAGATTATTATTAGGTATACGCGTAAGATCGATCGCTAGGCGCGCGCGCGGGAAGACGAACGTACGGACCTTACGGCGGCGCTCGCGCGACTAATAGCCGACTAATGGCCCGCTAGCCACGGGGCGGGGGTTGGGGAGTAGCGACACACTGGCGCCGGCAAGGCTGAGTACGTGTCCAAACTTTATTTATTTATACGGAAATTTGGTCAAAAATTAAGTACCTATTTTTTTTACATAATTCGAATGAGAATCATGTACCGAGTATGCTCCTTAAATATTGATAGTAATTCACCTGTCACCCTGTATATAAAACAAGTACATACTTGTAATGGTACATGTTACTTTTTGTGTTAATAGATCTATTTATATTACAGCGGTACGTCCAAGAAGCAAGCGAGTACGGTCTCTAAAGGAAAACAGATCGCTGAAAAAGAAACTCCAAATAAAACTCCAAAGAAATTGACGAGGTATTTTGTTTATAGAATCTCACAAACGAAAATATAATACGATTCATCTAAAATATTTAAGTTCTCAGATTGTTAGTTGTTACATAAATTGTTATTGTAATGTCCGAACTATCTCAGGGATCGCCAATAGATCCTCTCATGCCAACCGATAAGATGAAGTGACTGGAATAATACATAGCTAGTGAAGCAGACTTTTATAAGTAGTTAGACCAATAATTAGGCTCCCTACTGACAGCGAGTAAACAGCGGACACTCTTTCTATTGATCTTTCAACCCTCCATCACGAAAGACCAAAACCCTGATACAATTAAAATCTTGATGTATCGTACTCGTCTCAAATTCCTAGCATTCACTTGTGTTGGTGGTTTGATTTTGTCTGACTGGTAATTAATATGCTGTCGGCTTTTGTTACGCGCTCCCAGTGTTAATAAAATTTAAGATCATCATTGTTAGTTACTGTAGCTTTTGTATATTAATACCATTATGTCCATACATCGTCTTACTATTAACTATTCGTTCCTTCAGCGGTCGTCGTCCATTGATGCGCGCCCCGAGCTCGTTGCCCCGCCCGCGTGTTCCTCGCGACCTGGACGTGCCCACTATGGTCGAAACTGTGGCGGTGAGTGAGCGAGACGGAACTATTGATACGAGCAGGACAGATATATATAGTCATATTAATGATTTCCAGTGTGCGTCCAGTCATATCAGTAACGAGGGTAGTCCCATGATGAGCCCGCGGAGTAGGAACCCTACACCGAGAAGGATAAGCCGGGAGACGACGCCGCGGGTCAGACACTATAGCAACAGAATAGTAGGAGAGAGTACAGATAATAGAGAGGGAGGGAAAGATACTAGCAGGAGTCTGAGTGAACCGAAGACAGAGGGACGGAGGAAGACGGAACATACACCTACCAGCGATAGAAAGAACCCCGCGAGGGAGATGAAAGATGTGAAACAGGATGTGGGGGAAAGAGACAGATGTACCACCGGCCACGTGGAGGTCGGGAGTAGCAGAGATGAGGCTAAAGAAACTGAGAGGACTAGGAGAGAAGACGAGACGAGGACTAAGGTGAGTTATTATTTATAACGTGTTGTAACATATGTATATGTGTATGTTAGTGACAAAAATTACAATTTTATAGCGATACAGTTATGTAACAATTTTAATCACCTCTCTATGATTATAAGGAATATTTGCTTTCAATTTAAAATTCCATACATCACAAGTTTATTGTCTGTTATAACTTGTAAATCCTAGTTCTATCTCCAACCGATTAATTAAGGTAGTAAGAGGACTTTAGGACACATCAAAGCTAAATGGCTTACGAAATGATAGACGGATTGTAAAAATATATTATTTATTGAAGAATTCGTGTAGCAAAGAATGTACGTCGAGACGCTATCACTGACGCGTGATACATTTGTAAGCTGTGTGTTATTAATAAAAAAATAATATTATGTACATGTCTTTGTGATATAAAGAAGCTTTTAATAAATAGGAAACAAGAGCACTTAAATATAATTAAAATATAAATAGTATGCGATAGCACTCAAGCACGTTGCATGTACCAATATAAACTCAGTATTTGAGTTATGTTGTATAAGTTATGTGTTGCGTGAGTGCACTTTGGGAAGGGGGGGTTGTGACGTCATCAAGGCCCTCAAGCGCATTTCCCGCACAGGGGCTTGTTGTCCAGCACAGAGAACGTTGAGTCGGTCACTGGGTTCCGGCATTTCTGGAAGTTTAACAAATATATCACCATCATTATCATCAGCCTATCAGAGTTCACTGCTGAGCAAAGGCATCTTCTCACATGGAGAAGATTTGAGTATTAATCACCACGATTAGTCAAGACGGGTTGGTGATTTCAAATAATAATTTGAAATTGTAAGTCAAAGTTTCCTCGTAATGTTTTCCGTCATCTGTCAGTGGTATCTAAATACTCTTAGACAGTACATATGACTTGGAAAAATCATACAAATATAATAATGACGATTCACATATACCTTGTTCATGTTATATATTGAATATTATCGTAATACGTACGGTGCAAGTGAAGCAGTCGCGATGCCACTTGTTGTCGAGAGCGATGATCGCCTTGTCCACTATAGGGGAAGCACAGCCAGCACATCTCGCTGCAAACTTGTCCGCGTAGCAGGACGAGCAGTATGGACGACCGGCCTGGGGGAAAGAGGGGGGGTTAGAGAGAATATAGACTAGACTATGGGATATAGAATACTGTTTTTGTTGTGATAGAGCCTAGTAGTAGTTAAACGAGGGCTGGCTCCACCGGGGAAGTAACACGATCTCACAGAAGTTCAGAGGGAAGTAGTCTTTAATGGCTGCGTTTCGTAAGATGAGTGACAGAGCCGGTTGCAAATTCCCTTTTCCTATGCTTTCCTGGCCTTTCTTTTTTCCTAACCATTCTTCTCCCTCTTTCTCAAATAAAGGTAGCAACGTTTCTGATATTTTACGGATGTCCATGGGCGACGGTACTACCTTCATCAGTTAGGCCGTCTGCTCGTTTGTCATAATAAAAGATACCAACAAGTATGCATTACCTGTTCCATAAAGCCACCACCTCCGAGCTCCTTCTTACATCCACCGCACACGAAGTGGTGAGCGTGCCACGATACACCCAGAGCTTGGATCACACGCTGAAACAAACAGACATACACACATTGATACGTAGTAATAATGATATAAATGAGAACATTATTTTTGTTATATTTTATAGGCATTTCTTAATGTGGTAGTGTAAGTTGGAATATTAACATTATTCCTGGTAAAACTAACTATGTAGTAGATCTAACGGACCTTGTCCTGTCATGTGCTTGAAATCATTCAGACCCGAGTTGTGGTGAGGAATATAGTTCATGTGTAAAACCATTGTTCACGCTTTTCAATAATAGAATTATTTTTCCGACTAAAATCACTTAAAGTAATAATATACGAATTTACTTTAGAATCATGGAATCTTCGTAAATGATATAAAAGGTGTTTGTTATATCAAAACAATTGAGAGTCATTTAAATTTTGCTTAGCAAAAGTATATTAAAGATTACCTAAAGAAATAAGGATTCATATTAGGTACATAGTGAAATATTAAATGTACATGTGTGATGATAAATTTATAAACTCTATTACTTTTTATAAATCTCTGCTAATATCTAACATCCTGGATCCGAAAGGTTTTTAGCAAGAGTTGTATCACAATACACGACTTTATATTCATCTACTTACTTACATTCTTGTGTTTCTACTATTGTTAATTGAGTACTATTGAAAAAATAATGGCATTAATTAATACCTATGATATATGTATATATGATATGCCGTTCTATAGATTAGACGGAACAAACAGGCAGACGGTCAATAAATTAAATATATATAAGTATAAAAGTGTCGCGTCTATCTTAATTTTTTGTTTAGCGAAAATCTGTTACTATAAAATTAGAAACGAAAATTTAGTAAAAGTTCTCAAAACCAAACTAGACACTGCCCGTTTTAACGTACAGACTATAGGTCTATGTGTATACGCATACGCATGTTGTATTAAATAAAGGAATGTTTTTCGGAAATAATAATGCCTTGGTTCCCGTTCTGTTTCCTTAATAGAAGTCATCGTGTGTGCGTGTCTGTCTGTGTGTGTGAGTGTGTGTGTGTGTGTGTCTCCGCTGTTCCGTAAATAGCTCTCATTGTATCAGATGACATCATCCTGTTTATGAAAAAATAAAAAGTCGCTGAGTGTCTTTATTCTCAACAACATTGTATTTGTTCATTACATACAACAAGACAGACATATGTAATTATAATACATGATTATGATATATATAAATAAATATATATACACCATTGTATGTATGTTTGTATATAACAGATCTCAGTAACAGTGCAGTGATGTTGTGTCTTTAAATAAATCCCATGTTTATTATAACTAGACGATGACAATTTACTAACACGCCAACACCCACTAAAGAATTTAACACAGAATTCAGATGTTTAGAAATTATTTGAACATTCTGTTATAGAATTCATATAAAACTAGCTTTTCTCGTGACTCCGCCCGCGGTAATGAGAAAAATGTTTTGTTCATGTCATGTGACTTCATACAAAAGGCAAAGATAGTGATGTTATAAAAGTACTTGTGGGAACTTAACGATATATCTGGATGAAGTATACATACGATATAAATATACATTCTTTTACATGAGCTATATTATTGCAAAGTTTCATTAAAATAAGCTCCGTCGTTTCTGCGTGTTATAACATAAGACCTATTAAATTGTTATCGTTTTATTTGGCGTATCGAAATTGTTCATATATATTATTATTTTGTGGGAGTCATGATTCACTCCAACGAGAGGTTCTTTGAGTAAGGTGTTCGGGACCTTATAAGGTCCGGATCAGTTATTAAATCACCAAATGATTTTATTTCATCGCTTCCTCTTAATGAGTAGTTGCTATACATAATGTAGAATGTTTTTTTCCACTATACGTTTGACATCTTGTGAGTGACTCACTCTTGTTGATGATTGAAGGTCGCTCGTAATTACTATTGTTTATGGCTACTGTGTTTATTTGCTATCTTAAATATGAATAAAGATTCAGTTAATTGTTCTATAAATAGCTTTAATAATATAGCTGTGATGTAAATTATATTCCTGCATAAAACCTACTCTTTTCAGCCTTTCTATTCAATGGCCCATGATTAATTGTATCCCATACACTTGTTCATGTTTTTTTTTTTGCCAAACTTGCGTGGGTCAACTCTGTGTCAACTATATTTGGAGTGGGTGACGTCACCTCATGATTCTCTCATATTCTTCCCAAACACCAACTAGTCATGCCACAAATACATGTACATTTTTGGTTGCGAACCAATAATAAATTAATCTTTGTATCTTATTAACTAATATAACTACCACCAAAGTTTTTCTTGTCACTGTTTAATTTTTTTTTGAACATTTTTATCTATTTAATTCGTGAACTGTATGTAAGTCAAAACGTAATAGTGTCTCATTATGAATCAAATATTTTGTTATAATTGAACATATATATTTTTATCAAACAATGAAATTCCATGAGCGTGACAGTTTAATAATATCTAATATCTAAATACTGTACATTTATAATGAATTCGTCAATTAGTTGGTGCAAATTAATAGTTATTCTTGTAATGATGTTTGAGAAGACCTACACATTTGATTGCATAAAAAAATTGTCTTTGAAATTGATGGACCACATTTTTAAGTGTCTTAAAAGAATAACAGTAATCATGGTTGCTGCAAAGTAACCGAAACGTCGGGAGTATGTAGTTTTCACTTAAATAAAATACGCGTTATCCCAATAATATTAGTTTCATTGAAATACTTCTGCGCATCTTCATCATAAGATACATGGTGAATGTTTTCAATAGTATAGTCATAGTTTTTACTTACATCAGTGATGGGATCCCCACAGCCATGGCATCTCGGGCTGTGATATTTAGCGTAACAGATGACGCAGTGTATGCCACCGTCGTGTTGATGAAACTTGGCCCCATCTATAGGCTTGTGGCAGGTGTTGCAGGTGAAATGCTCTGGGTGCCACTTCTTGTTCAGGGCTGTCACTATCTGGAATATTTAACATTTGATTGTTTGGATATAGGGCTATCGTAATAAAGCAAATGATTCTAATAGAGCAATTTCTAATAGATTTTAATGAGTTTGTCTTATATGGGCATTCGACACCTTATTATGACTCACGTCACCAAATAAGGTACCGGTCTTGAGACAGTGTGATACAAACAGACCATTGATAAATAATTAATATGATTCTTTAATGATTACATTAAAATTGTAATGACTGTCTAAACGTTTTTTTATTACAGTTAAAAATAATATTATGATAAAAGTATATTTGTTTAGTTCCTTATCAGTAATATAATTGTGCACACGACACCATAATCTCTTTATCAGCTATCGATCGATATATTATACACATTATTGTTGGCGATAAAAATGTGTAAACAAGGAACATAGAAACAATGTACACGCTTTTAATAAAATGTATGATATTATTACATTTAATATACTATAGGACAAAAAAGAAAAATCATATATTATAATGTTCAACTTGTCTGTAATTTGACATATTTTTTCTTAAAGAAATTTCTTTGATTAAACTTCTAACATGTATTTATACATATATATTGTTGTATGTGTATAAGTGAATGTTAACTCACTCTGCCCTGGATAGCACCGTTACAGCTGTTGCACACGACCGGCCCTCCGTCTTTGGTTGACTGAAACAAAATAAATATTTTTAATATATATAGGAATATACATATTTCATAGTGACATTAGAAATAACACAAGAGTATTTCGTAAATCAAGTCAAAGTATTAGTAGTATTATTATAAAGGTGAAATAATCAGTGATTATTTTGACAATATTTTTCTATCAAAAGTTTTGTTTTCTGTAATAGAGATTTCGTTAATAGATAAGTTTAGATAGTAGAGGTGGGCGTTTAACTCGCGTTAGATAGGGACCCCATAAACCTACACCTGGGTCGCAAGTCCCAGGCACTGTTGAAGCTCCTCTCACTACAACGATGGACCCGACACACGCACCGTGAACACAGTGAATGATGAGAGGTTTCGTCTCAATGAAGTCATTATAATTATGATTTTTCGTACTTTTAACACGTTTGTAACATCACTAGAGCCGATTCTACGTATCTATGTGATAAGTATTATTTCGTACATACCCTCAAATATGACATCACCTCAGTGATTGATAAATATTATATATTGATAGTAGCTCCGATAACAGTACTAGTGACAATAGGAGTTTGAAATATTATTGTGAAATAATAAAATATATACTAAATAGCTTATATACGTCTAAAGAGATTGAAACGTTACCATGAATGAAATATATCGATTGGAAAAATACCTTTATTGTAATAAATTATAACGCATTGATTTTCTGTATAAATTAGTAAATCTATATATATAAAAGAAAGTCGTGTTAGTTACTCCACTTATAACTCAAGAACGGCTGAACCGATTTAGCTGAGAATTAGCAGGGAGGTAGTTTAGAGCTAGGAAAATCCAATAGGATACTTTTTATCCCGTTCGACAGCATTCCCGTGGGACTTGACATCAAACGTCAGTCACTATAAAACGTGGAATAACGAAACACAATTGACAGCTATGCAATTGACGTATAATGACAGATATGTAATGAAGTATGGATGACAATTTGATATTTGTAAGAAATCTATATATTTATATAAAAATGAATTGCTGTTCTTTAGTCTCGAATATATATATCTCTCTTTTAAAACTCGAGAACGGCTGAACGGATTTATATTATCTTAGTCTTGAAATGTTCGTGGAGGTTCAGGGAAGGTTTAAAAGCTGAGAAAAATTGATTCTTTCGGGAAGACCCTAAAAAACAGCCCTTTTCTATTTCCCATACAAACGTTTTTTTGACATTAGATTTGACAACTAACTAATATGTCAATCATTCTGTCGCACTTCAAAAACACGGAGATTTATGGCTTACAGGTAAACTCCAAAAATAGAAATAAAAAAACGTAACAGATATTTCTTGATTATAGAGCGATACGAAGTTTGCTGGGTCTTCTAGTATGTATATAAAAGAAAGTTGTGTTAGTTACACTATTTATAACTCAAGAACGGCTGCAGGGATATGGTTGAAAATTGGTGTGGAGATAGATTAGAACTAGGAGACGGACATAGGATATTTAATTATGTTCAATCGAAACATAAAAACTTAATTACATTCCAATATCTGGTTATTTATGGTCTCCAGGGCGGAATAGACTTCGCCCAGTCAGCTATACATAAATTACTAATTCCGAAATAAACGCAGACGAAGTCGCGGGAAAAAACTAATTTGTGATAAAAGTGAAATATTTTTTTAAGCGATTCATTTCATCGTCATTCATATAATTGACAATTAAGCGTGCTACGTAGTTATTTATCTAGCCATTATTATGGCTAGTTGTAAGTAACTATTTACCTAGCAGCGTTTCTTTCAATATTACTAATTAGTTGTAAAGAACGACTACTTGTTTAATATATAACTTTTAATATTGACACACAACGATATTAATTAATATCAAATTAATTCTACTATGTCAGTAGGCTATAAACTCGATATATATATGTACTATATGTATAATTACATATTATATGTCTAATGATTCCTACGTATAACCGTGTTAAACGTCTTTTGGTAGAACAATGAAGCTTGTGCGATGAATGTGAAATGTACTGTCATAATATGGAGTGTTACCGCTCGTGATGATCACCAGCTAGGGTCTAGACCTTGACTGTGTGAGGTCAAGGTCATATAGATGACGTGGACACTAAAATACTACGAGTTTGATCAGTAGCACTACATAAGATAGTTAGTAGTCAGTAGTGTATAGTTTGTAAAACTAAGTTGATATTTATTTGCGGAGGCTTAGAAGTGATGAATTTGGAATTGTATTTTACGTAGTGTTAGAGAGATATGTGCTGATGTCTCTGTATGTTTATTGTGTTAGTGTATTAATTTGTTCATTCATATATTTTAACCATTTTTGGTCTCTATGTATCTTACTCTCTCTATATATAAAAATATATGTATAATGTTTACGTAGGTCGTGTGTACCCTTGATAAATTTGATGTACTAATTTTAAATGACTTAAATTCATTTGTGTTAATTGATCATATATTTTTAATTACTATTAAGTGACTTTATGGTGGATGTGTGTTTATGAGCGTCAATAGTCACCTTCATACAGTTACACTAACTAAATGTTTTCGTAATTAATTACATATACTTTACTATTCAATACTCAGTATGTTTGTGTGTCTGTCACTGTAATAACAACAGACAAGATAAAAAGTACACATGAGTTACTCATAAGCAAAGCCAGGGGATTCCACCTAGTTTAGTATCATGTTTGAGGAACAAGTTATATTAAATTGTTCATAATTGTTCTGCTAATGAGATAAACCTACGGAAACGTAATTCTGTAAAGCCGGAATCATACCGTCCATATAGTTTCATATCAGTACATATATGTGTCATAATAATTATTATTATTTTAAAACAAGTTTATCACCGTTTTTATATGTAATAGCTTTTATAAAGTGTACCTAATGTTAGTCGGTCGAAACAAGATTTGTTCCCGGAATGTTCCGTATTGATTGGTTTTTGAAAAGTTTTTGTTTATCAGATTATTGTGTGATATATACTCGTAAATTCATTTGTTAGTTCGTCACAAGTGAGCAATAGTTTCAATAATTTATGTCTTCATCAGTCTCAAAGTTTTATCGACTTGTTGAGTCTGTTTACTGTCAGATACATAAACATTATGTATGTGCTATATATATACATATATATAATATACATTGTAATATATAAATAATATTATATAATTTTTATTATATATTTTTAAATGAAAACAATTTGTCATTCTATATATTTAATCATATTATTTGGTGTGTATTTTCAATATTATCTGATACATCATTATATTTATTTTTTAACTCTTTATTGCACACCAAATATAAATAAAAATAAAAAATATATTCTTTAACACAAAATACATTGGTGGAGCAAAAGGCGGTCTTATGGCTTATCCATATAAGCCATTATATTTTAAACATTGAATTATAATCGTTTATTTTTGATATATTTTTGTAGAAATTTTGGTATTTTACGTAAAACCATCATCATACTATTTCTCCTCATTCGCGTTGCATTGAAATACTAACCGTCCTTGAATCCCGTACAGTATTAGTGTTGTTCAGAAATAGTATCGGCGTGGGATGGTATTATTGTCTACAGATCAATTGTAAGTCTAGATTTTGATGATATATTACTAAATGTTACATCTATTTGAGGACCCTACTTCATGGAAATAACAACATAACAAATAGATTACAATATAATGAGATCTACCATTTACGCGAGTTGTATTCATTTAAATGAAACTGATATTTTTCGGATAATACTACGCGTGCATTATTTTTGTAAAAAACTACATACTACCGATGTTTCGGCTGCTTTTAAGCAACCGTGATCATGGGCAGACGAGATGTGAGTGTCTCATATAAATATTCACCTTTATATACAATTTTATCTGAAGGATATTATTTTGGCAGGTGATCAGCTCCAACAATGTGAGTACCGTGTGAAACGGAATGAGCTGTTCATATTTATAATTGTATCTCATGATAGAGCGACCCGCGGAAAAAACGACGAGATTTGAAAACGGTTCAGTGGATTTATGTGTACGTGGGTGTACACATATATATACTTTAGATGATTCATATAGAAAAAATAATTTATATATATGTACATCAAACTTAATTATATATGATAAAATAGAAATAAAGAACTAGTCTTTTTAATAGTTTTATGACAAAAATAGAAATTTAAATAGCTTACTATCTAAAATATCGTAGATCTACGCATAAAAATACAGATATTTTGAAGTGACTTTAGTATGCAAAGATCTAAAAAATTTGTGATATTATTAGGGCTGCGACTTCGAGTGTTATGAAAAAATTGCAATCACAAAGTTTTGCATTCAATAATAAACGTGTAATAAAGAATTGTATTTTTTCAATAGAATACTTGAAAATAGTCTAATAACACTTTTTCGCATATTATTTCACACAAAAATATCGTCACTTAGTGTCAAACACAAAATTGGAAAAAATTTCACCGGTTACAAAAGAAACTATTGCATATGATCTAAATTTTTTCCGAAATATTTTAAATAATTTTTCTTAGGGTAACGTGACCCCAGACAACTATGTTTTTAATTTGTTTGTTAAATATATTTTTAAAAACCTTTTGTGGATTTAGATTTTAATTGTTTCTTATATAAAGAAACTTAGTCGTAATTTTTTTTAACGGACTATATTTTTTCTCATGAGTTCAATAAACCTCTTGGCATTGTCTCGTTTGACATTATTTTAAATTTTTACGATGTTTTTCGTTTAAAGGATTAAAAATAGTTTATACTTTGTGTCATATCTATATATTGTAGTAGTTGGGACATTTATTGTTGTATCTTGTAGAAGAACAGATATTTTTGTAGTTTTGTAGAAGTATATATCTATGCTTCTAATATATCTTATGCCTATCTCACTGATACATAGAGCAATATTTAGTGAAATTTACTTATTATATTTTTCAAATATTTTTAATTATATATTTCAAACAACTGTATCAACTTACATATAAAGTGTCTAAAAAGTATTTATAAAAAATCGGTCGCTAAAAATTTTAATGACAATTGGTTTAACAAAAATGATACATTTAATAAGTGTTGTTAATTATTTGTTCAGTACTCATTGAGTAATAAAACACTTCTCTTATATGATACTATGTTATGGTACACAAAAAATGAGATAAACATTACTAGTAATAGTTATTTTGAGTGAAGAGATGACACAATAGTAGTAAACAAGCATTATTTATGTTTTAGTTCAGTGTAGGGACGCCGAGGATAGCGAGGCGGTCAAGGTATCCCTCATATATATATGACTAATAAAAACCTTGAAAAAATACTCATTTGTTTTAAAGAAACTTCTGTTTGAAATCTCTTTAAAATATTTTAGATTTGAGTCAATGTTTTAAAACTAGACTCTGACATACAGATTGCTGTGTTTTATAATTTGAAACTAAACATTCATTCGCCGGTTGATATCTTTAATATATTTAATTTTGTATATCCTTACAATATTATATTATTAAAGACGCACAAAATTACTTATCATAATTTAGTCATAAAAATAATTTTGATTATAATATTATTTTTATCAATTCGTACGTGTCATATAACTCACCATGTTTATCGTAGTTGGAACCTTGCTTGTATGACACACGTCAGCTCTGGAAGGATTCGAAGCGCGGACTGAACTCACATTACAGTTGTGTGTAGTGATGTTATAAAGAACGAGAACCGTGATATCGATATACAGTGACGAACTTGCTGTTTATCGATAAAAATCAACAACACTGATAATATGGCTCCGTGCATTTTACAGCTTTTAAGTTATTTCGAATGACCGAAAACTAGAGCGTCGTCATCAGTAGTATTATTATTTAATTTTACATATATGTAAATTACAATCGATTAAATATGAGCACAACAGACAGCACTGGTCGGCGAAAATATAAATGCCTTATCGTAAATGACGTAACCGCTGCAGCTACAAGGAATTGCACGGATTTGAGGAAATTCTCTAGAATTTGTGTTAACAGTATATAAATATTAAAATTAGAACAAAAATAATATTCTAATATTTTTATATATTAAATGTAAATCGGATTAATATTTGTTAATAAAGCTATTAACTGCTTTATATATTAAAGTACGGAAGTACATTTAGGATGTTCGGGATACAGCCAAGGTCACGTTTCGTCTGGAGAAACGTCCATAGTAACCTGTTCTGATACATTTGGTTTATAATGCTCGGTCACGTTTAAAACAACTTAATATAAAAGGTAGTATTGCATGAAAAACATTTAATGTTTGATTTTGTATTGTTTGGAATATATTTTTAGGTAAAATCGCGTTCAACAGCGGGTTATTTTGATGTCTATACATGAATTATACATAACAATGATGATCACTTTTAGTTATAGTTTTTTTTTCTTACATAATTTAATCGTTAGATTTTATATTTAACAAGCCCCCGACTGCTAATTTTTTCCGACATCTTCAACAAATATCGTTAATGTACACGCAAAAAAATACAAAAACTTAAGAAATTTTATATTAAAACCTTCCTTGATAATCACGTAATCGAGTGGTGGAAACTACTTGATAATATTAGTGCAGTAGTTTTTCTGTTTTTTGCGAACAGACAGACAGACAGACACGGCGGGGGAGTTCATTTTATAATATGTATTGATTTCATAACACCATAGTTCACAACAGGCTTTGTGTCATTCACTAGTACATTAAATAAAGGAAGAGAAAGGAGATTGAAATTAAATTAGAGGAAATGAGAAGTGATCTCTTCCAAGACCATCTAAATTCTAAATATATGATCGGTAACCTAGTATACTATGAATCATGTATATATTAGTGATGTTTCGGATCGCTGAGATTGTATCCACGGATATAGGTCCGGGTAATAACTATCATCATCATCAGCCTATCAGAGCAAAGGCTTCTTCTCACATTGAGAAGTCTGGTTGGTAATAACTCTATCAGAGTAATACTATAGATGACACTTTCTTCGAAGGACCGTGTACTAAGTTCTGTCTATAGTCATTATCAAAAGCGAATTCATCTCTCTCTCAAAATTGTTTGTGATTGGATTGTGTATATGTCAAGTCTATAAATATTTAGTGGTGTATATTTTGTTGTAGAGCCCCGAGCATCAGGTAGCCCCCGCCAACCTTGAGGTGACCAGGCTGCTGCGACAACTGTGCGGGGGAGACGGCGCCGGGTGAGTAGTATATGTATACACACACACACAAACACACACACATATATATTAATATTGACGGCTAACATATATTTTCAAGGATACAGATACTATGTATATTACGTAATAGGGTGCCTTTAACTTATATGTATAAATCATATATATGTATGTAAGTGTGTTAATAAAAAAAGAAAAAGTTTCTTAATTGCATTTTCTCCTAAAATATGTTTTATCTTAAACCACCCAACAAACAGTTTTCGTTAAAACTATAGTGATTAAATAATTATTTTAACGATAAATTGATTTTATCAAACTTCCATACATTTCGTGCGTACAATATATAATATATACAAGTGTAATTAAGTTAACATATTAAGTTAATTATGTATTAGTTGAAAGTATATATGTGAAGTATAGTATACTATGGATTTAATTTCACACGTTTTATTTTGTCATTTACTTAATATACTGATGCGTCATCTTATACCTATAGATGGCTAGATGATTTTTTGTAGTAATTAATTATATCTTCTTCTTCTATATATATAAAAATGGATTGCTGTTCCTTAGTCTCGCTAAAACTCGAGAACAGCTGAACGGATTTGTCTTATCTTAGTCTTGAAATGTTTGTGGAGGTTCAGGGAAGGTATAAAAGGTGAGAAAAATTGGATTAATTGCCGGGAAAACCCTAAAACCAGCCCTTTTCTATTTCCCATACAAACGCTTTTTTTGACATTAGATTTGACAACTAACTAATATGTCAATCATTATGTTTGATTGAAACAGGAAAAACCTGATTATTTATGGCCTCTTAAGACGGAATAGAGTTCGCCTGGTCAGCTATACATATATTACATATGACGAAACTAACGCGGACGAAGTCGCGGGCAAAAACTAGTTAAATATATAATTATATACAGATATATTAGTGTCTGGATACGATTCCGCTTGAGTTGTTAAATATGAAAGATGATGAAAAAATACATTCTATGTATATAAACCAATAATATGGCTGAATTGTTCGGAGACAGTAATTAATACGAAATAATACCTAAAGTTGAACTTGCAATTGTTGTTATTAAAATATTATTTAAAAAATATTGTACATTATATGTATGACCAAAAATATTTAAAAAACAATCTTACAGATGTAATTTTTTTGATATATTATGGTGAAAAATTAATTCCTCCAGTTGACCAGACCAGTATCTAAAATGTGATGTAAATTTTTATCAACAAATGTAGTTTTTGTACATTCGGTGATGAGACTGTATTTTGGTGAAATTCATTTTGAGTTACAATAAAATATATTTGATACATTTAATTCTAATTAACCTTTATTAAACTCGTCCTACTTTATATAATTAAAAATAATAAAATCTAATTATAATATATCCAAGCTTATCTTACTATCGCTTATAGTAACGCGTATTATGACACGTAGCGTTGTGTCATCGTTGAAACAAAAGTTTAATTGTATTATAACCCTTACTACGTGTTTGTACCGTCGAAATAAACGTACGTTTTTTACTCATAAATTATATCGTGATATCAACATGTAAGTATGTTAGTAATGAACGGATGACTATCCGTATTGAGTGTGACGAATTTAATTCATGGTTAGCCAACTTTAATACTATAATGTATGAAGATGTCATCTTCTCCTACTACCTGGTAACTTCTATAAAAACGGCACCCCGATATACATATTAGTTTAGACAAATAATAAAATCAACAACAAATAAATTGTGTTGGATGCGTTCAGATACTTGGCAGAACAACCTCCGTCGGGTTCGCTAGTATTACATAAAAATGATAGGTTTCTAACATGTACAAGAGAACAGATTATGGCTTTCTCGCTATAATGATTTGCTTGAGAAGCTTAACTCTAGCAATATCAATCATTATTTTATGTTTCCTGGCACTTTCAGAAAAATAAATGAACGAAAATTATGAATCATAGAACCTGTATAACTTCTATATCTTGGATCCTACAACTTTTGCGCCATATTAACTATTGCTCCAAATGGTTAGTTCTAAGAATATGAACCATTTTTTTTTGTTGGCCGGCACTTTCAGAAAATGCCCAAAAAGAATGATCTCCTTTACATTGGTACTTGTCAGGACCGAACCCGCGCCCTCATGCATGAGAGGCGGGCCTTTTAACCACTAGGCCAATACTAACTAATGTATGAAGATGTATGAATGATAAACTATCAACTCTACGTTTGACGTGTAATACGAACTCGTATTAAGAGTACAGATGTCGAAACTTGTCGAAATGTAATTCATTAATCATGTCCAGATATGTATTAATCGGAATTGTTTGATAATAATAACAAGGCGATAAAAATTAACAATTCCTGAAACTATTATATTTGTTTATTTAATTGAAGTTTTTTATCTAACTGTAGTTACCTACCTACCTATTATGTGTCAATTGTTGTAAATAGTTTTATTGTGTGTAAATGTTTTTCATAGAATTGGATTAACGGATTAGTATAAATAGAATTATTACTGTCTTTATATAAAAATATTATTTGTTTTATCTTTAACCGTTCTGCGTTTCATATCTTTGTGGAAAACTAATTCGTTTCCTGTAATTAATATGATTTGAATATCTCTACGTAATATATTGAGGTCTATTTGAGGTACTCATTATTTGTTAATGATTTTTTTCTTTCAATACACTTCATATGCGTATTAAGGTGGCACTTCACTTAGCGTTGCGTATTCGCCGCATTTGTCCAAATATTTGTACGTATTCCAAATAGCGCAAACACGACATCCACACTTGGCATGCCAACAGTAAATAAGGACAAATTAAGGCGGCACTTCACTTGGCGTTCATTTGTTGTGTTCGGCCAAATAAGACCATGTGTGGAGGATTTATTCGTCTTCATTTAACATATTTGCACAAATAAGACCCATACACAAATAAGATGTGTTGTTGGCATGCTAAGTGGGGATAGTCGAGTAGTTGGAATTAAAAACTATTAAATTCCCAATAGTATCCTCGTTGAGATCGTGTAAAGACGGCTGCAATGCTAGTTTTACTCAGGTTTTATAGGTTTCTGTATAATAAACCATAGTCGATACTACCATATACGATGGTTCGAAAATACATTGGAGGAAAGTATGAGTGCTTACACTACAAAAGTCATTGAATAACAACTTATGACTTTCATTATAATATAAACACACAAACATATACATTTGGTATGTATGATGAAGGTCTCGTAACCATAAAGTAATAATAATCCCAGGGTTATTGTTTTGCATGTAATGAGCTTGCACCATCCCATTGTTCCGATCCGGCGAGGATGCTCCTATAGGCACGCGCCATGAGATCATACGCGAACGTTCAAAGCACATTGAGAGATGAACGTAGATAGATATAGATGGATGTAGATAGACAGAGATAGAGATAGGCATTTACATAAAGCTCAACTGTTATATACTTTAAAAGTAAATGTGTAATGCAGGTGAATGTTCGTGTTTAAACACTTTTATTTTGTAGTGGAACATTACTTTATTGTATGAAATTAAATTATTTATATATTATATTGGCTTATTTTGAATGATGCTCTGAATCGTCTCATGTTTAATAACAGTATAGGTGAATGTCTCTTGAACAAAACAGACCATAAGATTTTAATTATACACTTGTAAATACAAACACGATCCCAACATTTTATTCTTTATGCATGTGTCAATAGTTTTTGCATGTCTGTTTTTGTATCCATGTGCAACTCAGAACCCATTTAAGTATCATAGTTCTATATTTTACATATAATTACATTTAATATAATATTTAGAATTTATACTCTGTTACTTACATGAAACTAATATTTTCGGAATACGCGAATTTTTAAAATAATGTATTAACTTAGTCTAATCCGAACAATATTAGTTTCATTTAAATGAATACTCGCAAGTATTAGACCTCAATACTCTATTAGTATTTGAACTAGCGGCATTTTCATATCTTTTGAAACATTTGTTTTTTTTTTAATTACTACTCGTTTCTCAGACGGAATCATTGCTATAGCTAGTATTATGATTGTGATAAAACTACACAATTGAAAAATTTGTTGAGCATATCCTATAAATGTCGATAACATCATGGTCACCCTACTGATACCACCCCGTACCGTTCTCCGTATCTGTGATCTGGTTTCCGTGTTCAGCTCGACCTTGGTCAAGGTCACGCCATAAAACTATGACGTCATCACGACCTGATGCCGTGCGAAACAAGCCATTTACGAGGGGTGCATTTGATTTAGAGATAGAAAGAAAATTAATATCTGAACTTTTATGATAGTCATTGATTAATTAATATAACTTTAGATTTAATGCTACAATATTAAGAGTATAAAATGACGCTTCTTAATAAGATTTTGTAAGTATAACAAAATACACTTAAAGAGTGTTAACAATTTGCATTTACTGAATTTTAAAGACTTTTCTTTATTATTTTTTCATATCTTTTATGCAGTTTCTTTGAAATATATTGAGTTGAATTTATCTAGACCATTAATATAAAAATGTATTGATGTATTTTTCCCAGTGTATTTTTAGGACGATGATTCATTTATTGGTTGTATACATGTGCTATCTCTATACAGTATGTAATGCATGTGTGTGTATGTGTCTTTTGTGTGTGTGGCTGTTTGTTTTTGTTTATCGCGAAATCTCCTGAACTAGAATCAAACGAGATGAATCCCGAGGTCGGTTCAATCTAATACACATAAAATAAATAGCAGCCAATTGCTTCATTACACTGGATTTACACGAACGCGCCAGAAATTGACGGAATTATTACCAGAGATTACCTGGCCTTGTCTGATGCTAGGGTTAACAAAAATATATATACCCATATAAACAATTAGTATGTATAATTATATTGATTTATTTTGGCTTTGTTACATTTATCATCCTCTTAAAATTATGTGTCACACGTCTTGTCATGTCACGTCATTCATTATCATCGGTCTATTAGAGCCCACTGCTGAGCAAAGGCCTCTTTCTCACATGGAGAAGGTTTGAGCATTAATCACCACGCTTGCTCAAAATGGGTTGGTGATGTCAAACTTATAATTTGATAAGTCCAGGTTTCCTCACGATGTTTTCCTTCATGTGTCAGTAATGTCTAAATACTCTTAGAAAGTGCATATGACTTGTAAAGATCACATTGGTACTCGTTAGGTTTCGAACCCGTATATAGGTATATTACACACTTAATATTTCAATTAATGTAATTATAATTGGCTTGTTAATTGAATTATATCGTTAGCGTTATGATATATAGTCTCTGTCTGCTATAAATTCGTCCCCACCCTATGACAAATGTGATGTAGAGCAGTCTAGACGTCGCCGGGACTGTTTTTAACACCCTCAACGTCACCCACACCATGAGATCACCCTCGCCGTCACCCTCGGTCACCTTGTCTGTCATACGAACATTATGTTAATAATAATGGGCAAAGGTACATATATGTATATGAGAATATATGTACGGCCACATCATATGTTTGTGACATTTTCTGTTTTGATTTCTAAAACATCTATGTATGTATATACATAGATATGACTCGATATGAGTAGTGATGTTGATTGTATTATATTTAGGGGTACTGTAATATTAATAACAATTGAAATAAAATATTTGACAAAAGTTTTCTATTGGTGTCTTATATCTCCAATGGCGTAGGGTGGGTAGGTACTCATGTTGTAGGGACTTATTTCGGAGAAAATAGTTTTAAATATATATTATTTGAATGTTTCTGAAAGAAAGAGAACTCTTAGTAGGCGCTGGTATATAAATTTAATTGAAGTATACAATTTCTAATATATTACATACATTGAAACAAAACATTTTCTGGTTTAATAACCAAAACTTTTATATTGTTTTTTGTCAATTATAATGATATAAAGAAATATAATGTTATCATTAACATGATAGAAGCCGCAGTGAGCGAGTCTCCGGTACAAAGAACGCTCAACTGTTGTGTATCAGCGGCGGCAGTCCCAGACAACACAGTACTCCGCAATTGTTGAGGGTAAGATTATATATACAGCATGTGGACTAGAAGTATACTATTAAGAATACATATTATATATACTATATACTTTTAAATGAAATTAATATTTTTCGGATATACTGCGCATGCTTTAATTTTGTAAAAAAACTACATACTCCTGACGTTTGGGCTACTTTTCATCAACCGTGATCACGGGCAGACGAGATGTGAATGATATTCAATGTTGTTTACGAAAATGAATGTAGTTTTATGCAAAAATAAAGTAAACGTAGTATATCCGAAAAATATTAGTTTCATTTAAATGAGTAAAACTCGTGAAAGTCTTAGACTATTTACTGTAATTAGATCCTAGAAGAGACGATCCAGAAGAAGGCGCCAAAGACTTTGTTCCCTAAGTCTCTATCAGCCCGCGACAAGGATCGGTACCGCATGACCTTCAACATCCCGGACAGTACCTTGGACAATATGTTTCAATACCGGACCAAGTTCGTACAACACATGCTCACCAGCCCCATGTACGCGAATAGCACGGTGGGCAAGCCTTGGGAGAAAATCGGCAGGTACATATAAACTGTTCTCAATTAATAATACTTATATTTGTCGTTGGTATAATATTGTTTTTGATGACTAGGAGTACCAAAAAACCGAACTTGGAGTACCAATTTTTGATCCCAAATTTACTCAACTAATATTTCTGTAAAACCTTGTGGCAGACGACTTTATGACTTATTTTCAGGCTTTGAAGGTTAACGGTACCTTCTTGACGTCTTGTAGATAGTTTTTTTCTGCGAATGATAAAAAAATGCTAGTCTTCGTGTATAATATATATTTTTAATAATTTTTACTTGTCAGTCGATACATATCACTAAAGTGTATTATTTGTAAATATTTTGAGGAAAAATTGTACTCCTAAACTATAATACTTCTTATAAGAACATTATATAATTTCTTTCTTAAATCTATTTCCAGGGTGTCAGAGCAAATTATCGATGATCTACTTCTAAGTTGCGCCAAAGAAATGGAGCTGCAGAGTTTTCTTACAGATTTATATAAAAGCGAAACTAGTTGATTGTGTGTTTTTGTTCATTAAAATAAAATTGCCTATGTACATAGTAGTTTTATTTAAAATATCACTTAAAGTACATGGATCGTGACCTACGAGTTCTTCATAATTATATTTTGTTCGGTAATTACTGGGCAAAATTAAATAACAATCAAATAAGGCACTTATATATAAGACTAGGTCCACGCACCCGGCTCTGGTTTTAATAAACCTTAAGTACACAAAATGGCACATACAGTTCATAACACTGAACACTAATTTGTGATCTATACTTTATCATCGTTGTTCATCATCCGTAAAGAATTCAGAACTTCACCAAATTTGGTCTTTTGTCTTTTTAACGTGTCGTTCTTTTCCTTTGTAGGCACTTTAGGTATACTCTCTGTACTTGAACCGTCAGTATGATAGGCCTCTTCAGGCGTGGGAGGATTGGATTTCATTAATCTACTTTTTATTAATTGCGGTCCACCCACCGCAAATATATTTTCTAATTTCGATTTTAGATCTTCGCGGCTCATACTGACGTCTTTTTCTTCTTCCTCAGAAGATTCTTTTTTGTCTTCTGTATCTACATGACGTAAATTCTGGGCCACTTCTCTTGACACTATTTCCTTTTTTAGATCAAGAAACAGTACCGGTCGTATTGGCTGTAAATTTGGACTATCCACTACATTACCGGTTGAATTTGATCTTTTTCTATGAGGGTCTTCTTCATTGTCATTTGCCATTTTACTTTGAAAGATATTTTCTAATTTGGACATAAAATTCATTTGCTTATCGCTTCCAAACACCATCGGTGCGTCGTCGTAGGAATGATTTGAATCAACACTCTCCCTGGGTTTGTTGTCTTCTTGTTCGATTTGTCTTTTCGGTGGTCTAACAGATATAGTGTATGATTTTTTAAATGTTGGACTGGCGAAGAAGTTTTCGTCTAACGGCGGTGGGACTGGTATGTTCGGTATTTCTTCTGCCTCTTTTAAATCTTCTATTGATTCACCTAGAACTGTTTTATCGAGTGTATCCGAATAACCAGACTCGTCTGTCCTAGAGTTAGTATCGCTACCATTGCAATTAAGATCTTCGTTCTCGGGGATTTCATTATCGCTGCTTTCTGTTTCTTTGTCGCTTTTCTCTTCTTCTTCTGTGAGTTTCGGTAAATCTTCTCTATGAACTTGAGCAATCACATCGTATTTAGATAGCACCTGGGTAGATACATCCGACCCGGCATCAGATATTTCACTCAACGATTTTCTATGCGTTTTCATTTCTGGAGTTGTGACTTCTTCTTGAGGTTCTTCCTTATGTTCTTTCAAACTTATTATCTCCTCATAAGAATCTTCTTCAGCCTGTAGCACCTGGTCCAGTAAATCTATAATCTTTGCTTCTTTCTCTTCGTTGTCCCCGATGTAAGCGTGTTGAACTATAATCTCTTCGGTTATAACCGGTTCTTTAATATGTATGATATTTTGTTTCAAGTCTACTCGTATGTCGTCATCATGATCGTAGCCTCCTCCTTGGTTACTACGACCCATAGTACCGGGAGGTGTTGGTGACACAACGAATATCTGAACCGGTGCCTTGCCGTTCGCTTGTGGGGAGTTTGCATTGTTCTCTGTGTAATTTTCCACTTTTTGCTTATAACAACAGACACAGAATATATAAACTGGTATACCTGTAATAGAGAAGGTAATAATAGTGTTAATGCTAATAATATATTGTTGTTTAATTATGTCTATTGAGTTAAAAATCTTACCGATTGCTATCCAGCACAAACAACGTATCCAGGTCTGAAGTTTTATGAGAATCATCAGATGTATGTTGACGTATATACTTATACAAGGAATCATAGGCACGAGGGGACACTGAAAGTTGAAAGTTACAAATAAATAAATGAAAATATAAGCAACATTTTTGTGGAACTGTTTGACTAACTTATAATTTATAATTAAATATGTAATTAGGTATATGCATAAAATATATCATACAACAAATTTCCAAGCGTATTTTTGTTTAAAAAAAAAACAGTCGACCGATCTCAAAGTGTCATTCATTCCAAACGTCTCATATAAATGATGAGAGCTATCAATCAGAATTTCTCTCATGAGTTGTCTTTACTGTATTAGGTATTGTTTTAATTTAAATATAATAAAGCTCATAGCTCTTAATACCTGAAAAGTTAAATCCTCCTCATTCTGTGGCTGTAGTGCCATCGCAACCAGCAGTAGTAGACCCGCCGCATGTATGGTACAGGCTCCGACAAGGGGCTCAAACACGTGGGTCACGACCACCGCGGACGAAACACACGCACATACTGACACATGACACAAATGATGTTAAAAAAGTTATATTTTAAAAAATATTGAAAGTTGAAACATGAACTGCCATTGAACATTAACATGTAATGGTTTGAGAGTTACAGAAGCAAATTTTAGTAAGAAGTTTACATATAATTAATTTATATATTTATGTTTTTAGCATCAAAGCAATTTAATTCATGGATTCGAGTCAAGCATGATAATTTGTTTGCAGGAAACTGAGATGCTATATATCGGAGGTAGCTGCTTCGATGAATTTTTCATTCAATACTTTCTACTTGAAATTCACTTTATTACTTCGTCTTGTACGGTACAGATGACAAATGTAAGGAATTACAAACAAGATAATACTTACTGAATAATAGAAGTAATATAACAACAATATTTGATGTCGTCTTCGTCGGTAATCTGCGACCGATATTAACAACGTGTTTAGCAGGCAATTCGTGTGATGGTGTGTTCGCGCGGTATCTACAAATATAAACATTCAGATTTATATACTTTAAAAGGGTTCACGTTACCTTGTTTTTATATATTACTAGTTTTTGCCCGTTTTCGTTCTAGTTAATTTCGAAATTGGTAATATATGTATAGCTGACCGGACGAACTCTATTCCGTACTAGAGGCCATGAATAATCAGATATTGGAATTTATTAAGTTTTCTTTTTTGATCGAGCAGAATTTAATATCCTATGTCCCGTCCGTCCATTTTCAACCATATCTCTGCAGCTGTTCTTGAGTTATATATAGTGTAACTATCACAACTTTCTTTTATAGATATAGATAGATTTACCTCAATAGAATAACGCAGGAAGCGACAATAGTGTAAGACAATAGTGTACCGATACACATCATCAGAATTAAATCGTTCAACTCCAATAAAGCTGCTAGTAAAGCTGAAATTAAAATCACATAAGTTATTTAATATTCAAAATCGCCCATAGTAAATACTTTCGATTAAATATTATAGTTCTGTTGCTATATTATTATTACCAATAACCACTGTAGATAGTATAGTGGCGACGGTTGGTGATTTTCTCTTGGAAGTCACTTTGGATAGCCAGTGAAACAGAAGACCGTCTGAAGCCATCGAATATAGCAGACGAGGGAGAGGAAACATCGAGCCGTACAGACTGAAACAAATAAAAGATTAGGATTTAATAACACGAAGAAATATCTGTCGAAGAAATTGAGAGTCAGTTCATTTAACATGTAACTTCAGTTTAAAAAACAGTTTTTCTATGCATTTCAATCTTTAATATATAATGATATTATGTATTGATAGTCAACGAGAAAAATATGTTTTTTCAAACAATTAAAATCAAATATAATTCACGTGACTATAAACGAGCTATGATTGGGACTATAATTGTAACGTCATAATGTTATAGCTTTTTATTAACTGCTGCATTGTGCTCACTGTATTTATCACTTCTCTATTAAGCACAATGAATGAAAATTATAAGTTTATAACGTCTTTAACCTTCAGGCAATTCTTATTCATAAATCAATTAATATTTTTTAACCGTTATATGACTTAATTGTTAAACATTAATCTTGTTGCTCATCCTTGTTTGTGCTTGACGCTTTTTGCTATCTAATAAAAAGTTTAATTACATCGTAATTTCATAAATATAAGAAGTAGTGTATTTGTTAATGAGTTTGTGAGAACATCACGTTAAAACAACTGCATCAGATTAGCTGTTATTTTATTAACTATGTATGTCACTCGGAAAAACATTAAAAATATTTAAACTATTTTACAGAATTACCTAATAATAGTCCTATTTTCACATTTAATTAATCTTTACTGAATAATAATTAAGCTTCAGTTCAATAACTGAAAACTATTCGACAAATAAGAAGTAGTATGTTATTTACGCTAAATTATGTTTATTTCCTTCAAAATCTGTAATGTGAAAACCGAGCCTTGACAATAGTAAAGAAATCAACGGGATCAGAAGTTAGAAGTCAGATTCTGTCAACAATGCTCATATAGTTATGGAGGTAGGTAGTTTTAGTTTTGGTTTTGGGACATTTTTCCTACCTAGCTGATATTCCGACGACCGCGCCGGCTGTGACGAACCACCGCGCCCAGTCCCAGCCCACGTAAGTGAATGACGTCGCCACTGAAGCTACGGTCTCCTGGAAAAATGAACAAATAACCTTCAATATTCAGAAACATACAGATGAAATTTATTTTTTAAGAACCTATGATCTGAGTGTAATCGACTGAGGCAAAAAAAATACTTATTAAAAGTATATATCAATATTTTTACCACAAGTTTGGTCATTAAACTCCACACTAAAAGTTTTCTCCTCCCAGTGACGCTGTCAAAGGTATTAGGCTTAACAGATACAGACAAGTCAAAAGAAAAACGAAAAGTTAAGAGTTTTTCAATCATATATCTACGCTAATAGTGTCATTGTTGGTTCACAAATGATAAACTTGAACCATAGCGTAAGTACTTGGAAGGTAGGATATTTGTCTTAAGGTCTAAGGAATTTTTGTACTACAAATCACCTGTAAGTAGTAAGGCATCATCATAGTGACAACGATGGACACGCCCGCGTACGCCAGGAACACTATTACCTGCGTACCCATTATTGATATGGGTATAGCACGACGAGGATCTCGGACCTGAAGTATAGAAAACATATCAACTTGTAACATACAAAATATATTTAATTCTTCATAAACTTATTTGTAATATTTAATTATCCTGAATCATATTTCTATTAGATTCCTCGTTAATGTCTTTGACGTCTTTCAACTTATCTTGTTTGATCTGATCATGATGTCAGAATAGATCTTATTTTACTAGTTTTGATAAAAAATCACATATAATAAATTCTGTCTTTATCATTAATGAACCAATTAATTATTATGATAAATGATATGCTTTGTTTTTATTTTAAAGGTCTTTAACTGCGTTAGTATTGCATAGATTTAATAGAAAACAAATAGGACATTGAAGCATAAAACAACATAATTTATTATTTGAAATGTGCTGTAATATTTGTATGAAAGTGTGTGATATTACGTAAATTTACAAAATAGTATATCTTTCTAACAAAACTATAAACAAAGTTTTCCAATACAGAAGGCTTTTTTATAACGATAATATTGGTGGAATTACCTCCTCTCCAGTAGAGCTAATGCTATCAAATCCGACGAATCCATAAAAGCACATTGCGGCCCCTCTCAGCGTGCCCCAGACGCCATAAGGGAAGAACCCTCCCACACCACAACCTGGCGGCACCTCGCTCTGTGGGATATTCCAATTACTGAAATCCGCTGGAACAAAAAATAATAAATATTAAATCACACATGACAAAGTGACCTTAATATAAATGTTTAATGCGATTTCGTTACATAAAAAATATGTATATTTTCAATTTTGTGTTGGTTCGTATTAAATATAATCTTTTATTGAAAGTGTTTTCATTGGTACAAAAAAAAATGCCTTATACTCATCAATTGCTGATTTTTAACACAACCATTTTATCGTATATTTTTTAAATGGGCAAGATTCACTAACGATGATCAATTATGATGAGTAAATAAATATTTCAAAAATGTATAAAATTAACTAAATAGACACTCATGGTTAAGAATTTGATAGAATCTTATCAAAAGTTTAGATAACGATACAATCTTGATGAATAATACTGAGTGACTAATAAATATGAATACCTTTGAATGCGCCTGCGCATATAATGAATACTATGACGATCATATTGACGACTGTCAACATGTTGTTCACGAATGTTGACTCGCGGACACCAACAGCTAGCAGCACTACACAAATAAAAAAAAAACAGTTAATATTATAAAAATGAAGAAGGAAAAATCCAAAATATACTATATAATGAACTTACATACCCCCCAAAAAGACGACCACGAAGAATGAAAAGATGTCAAAGTAGGAGGAGAAGTAATCAGAGTAAATTGGAACGACGGACTCCATCCACGAGGACATGCTCTTGTTGGTGACGGAGTCCACATACATACTGAGACCTCGGGCGACACTCGCTGTCCCTGATACAATACCAGATAGGAAATTGACATTTATACACATGAAATTATTTTAGTATGAATGTTCTCATTCAATCTATAAGTTACATACATGTCTTGTATATTTAGTGCAAACAAAAAAGAAACATAAAATATTTAATCACGTTTTTCTGGTATTGGTTTTTATGGTGTCAATAGATTGTCATATTTACCAAAGACCAGTTCCAGGATCATGTTCCAACCTATAATGAAGGCGACTATTTCTCCAACAGTCACATACGTGTATATGTAGGCGGAACCAGCTTTCGGCACTCGCGATCCCAGCTCCGCGAAGCACATTGCTGTGAAACACATGTTAAAAATAAATTCAATATATTTGTAGGTTTAATTTTAATATCTGAGGTTCTGACAACATAACCATTGACTTTACAATCTCTAAAATTACATTGTTGAAGTCGGTCAACAGTTGAAATTCTTTATTTAATATCGATTGCTTACTTATGTTGGCAAGATGTTATCACCGATAATCAAAAATGTATAAATAGTGTATAAAATATGCCATAGACTTTCTCCCAATTAACAAAACATAAAACAAGGCAGAGTAAAAAGATTTAAAAAAAAAGATTTCAATATGTAAAACAATATTTTTAAATTTTTAAACAATATTTTAATAATATAAAAACTGATAACGTTAATAAACAAACATTATTTCAGTATTCGGAAGTCTGAAGTTTTAAAAGGTTTAGACATATATATATTTCTATTTGTTTTATGAAGTACTATAATTATATAGTATAAAAAATATTTTCACGTTTATAAAGATTTCACATTGTAATAACAATTTTAAGATTTGACCTCTAAATCAATAATATAAAATAAAGAAATATGAATGTAATGTGGCGAAATTTCTCATCATTCAATGGATTCATCATGCTGGTGCCGGGTCTATCGTTGTAGTGAGAGGAGCTTCAACAGTGCCTGTGACTTCCGACCCAGGTGTAGGTTTTAGTTTCTGGTTAACAATTAATTATGTATACTAACCAGCAACAACCGCTGCTACAGCTGCAATAAGGAAGGAGAGTACTATCGAGGGTCCGGCCAGACGAAGCGCCACGGAGCCCACTAGCACGTACACCCCCACTCCCAGCGAGCCCCCCACACCCAAGGCCGTTAGGTCCCATACTGACAGACATCTGGAATAAAAACAATTGATTCATAATGAGATCTAAGACTTCCAAAAAATTCCAACAATTGGTTTATTGACTTATTCCAATTTAGATAAAACCTTAATCCATAGTTCATGTTGTATATGACTTTAAAGACATCATATTAAATTCTTCGATTACATTTAATAAACCTATTACTTTGTAATGTCTCTATAAAGTTCTTTTCTATTTATACTATTTCAATAGTACATATATTCGTATGCAAATGATGTTTCTACTTAAATATATCTCGTCACTAATTTGTCCTCTTTTTCAACATTAACCGATAAGGAATTATGTACATATAAATATTTTTTACCAATAAAATAATGTTAAGTTTATAGCTGACTTAAAATTCAAAAAGCGTACATAGAAGCTAAAATTCATAAACACAGCCAGGAATTGAACCTAGAAATTCCGGAAAATTATAATTGCTTTGGATTTTCTATTTGGACTTTCTATTTGAATTTATTACTTATACAGATTAAAAGTATTTTTATGGTTTATTCGTAATAAGTATAACATTACCGTCTCAGATTTCCCGCGTCTAGCTGATCTGGTTCGAAGACTCGCCTTCGTTTCAGCGTGTAGAGAAGATCACGCCACTTGACTGCCATGGATCAGCCGCGACCAGGGACGAGGTGACGGTGCATTGGTACCATCAAGAATACCTCACACTGAACAAACACACATACTATAACACACACAACTACAACACAGAATGTCTAACAGTCCACACAATATCTTCTTAATACTTCTTGAGTCTTAAACAAGAAATGACTTCAGTGAAACACTCAAATGTGACAGAACTGACATTATTCTGTATTTCCTTAAGCAGTTTAAAGATCTATATAGATGACAAGTTATAAAGTAGGTTCTACCGTATAATGTCAAATATATAAGTTTTTTTTCTAATACGTCACAAAAAGAAAATTTGTTGTGCTTTTGCTGAGTAAATGGCTTTGTTAAAACACTTAATTCGTATATATTAAAGGTTGATAGCAATTTTCATGAGCTTATAAATCGGACCGTAATTTGTGTCCTTCGCCTTTAAATGGTATTTTAATTGGCGTGTTTAGTAGGAATTTGTAACGTCAACACATACATATATTGTGAAAATAGCAATGGTACATTTGTAAAACTTCTAAGTAAATTCATTTCTCTTCTAGGTCAGTATTTTATTATAAGAAATTATTAGTTTAAGTCATTCGACTCCAAAGAAAAATATGAAAAAAGAAACCTTTTTTTACATAAGTTATGTCTTTGATACAAACACGAGATATATACTATTAAAATAAAAAAACTTATGGGGGATTAGAATCAATGAGACAAAATATGTAACTTCAAATAACTTTACAATATTGAAGAATATAGATTAAAAAGGTTTAGTCAGCAATATTATCTATACTAATATTATAAAGCTGAAGAGTTTGTTTGTTTGTTTGTTTGAAAGCGCTAATCTCCGAAACTACTGGTTCGAATTGAATAATTCTTTTTGTGATGGATAGTCCAGTTATCGAGGAAGGCTGTGGGCTATATAACATCACGCTACGACCAATAGGAGCAAAGATATAGTGGTAAATGTGTAAAAAACGGGAGAAATTATTTCATCTTTGAAGCCTTCCATTGCGTGCGCCGTGAAAACGCTTCAAGATACACAAAAAATATGTATTAAAGAATAATAGCTCTTTTAATGATCTAAAAAACAGTCCGCGACAGTATATGTCTATCTTTTAAGATTAACTCACAAAAACCGTTTTTATGCTACCTAATTTGGTCGAAATAATTTGTTTAAGTTGTATCAACATAATAATACTAATGTTTATTAAAATAAACAAATAAATATGTTGTTGATTAAGAGTACTTCATTGTAAATTTAAAAAAAAACATAGGTTTTATCCTGAAAATTCTACGGGAACTCGACCATTCCGAAAACCCCGCAAGAACGGCAACTATGTAGGAAGAACCAAAAATCTGCCGGAAGTCACTATTCCACGCGGACGGAGTCGCGGCAGAAGCTAGTTATTAATAACCATAGTCTTCGAATAAATTCAACTAGTTTCAATAATTTCTCTTGATATAATAAAACTCAATGGCAAATGTTTGATTTAAATCAATCAAAATGTAATATTAATGCATGCTAACTAAAAATAATACTTGATTTTAATTAGAACAAGGAGGATTGAAGACGTTTTGAATCTGAGTCATTTGCCAGCAGTTACACATGGCGTGAATTGATTTTGTATGAACCATGTATTATTTAAGTTTAATCATATTTATAATTCCAGGATACTTCTTAAGTCGTTAAAATGAGATAAGCTTATCTGTTTTAGAAAATAAATATTAAATTGTGAAATTACACTTAAACTATGTCAATATTTAATAAGATCTAAGACTTTCGCGAGTATTGATATAAATGAAACTAATATTTTACGTATTTAATTATTTTTAAAACTACATACTCCCCACGTTACTTTTCAGACGTTTTACGTTACGATATATATGTAGCAGTCATATGTGCGTATTCTTTATAATATACCTAATCATTCACAATATATACCTACAATGTTAATGTTCATCATTATTTTTATAGCCAGCTTTTAATCTAGGTTTTGGTATAAGTTAGCTCGGCGCATTAAGTACATATGAAGATTTAAAAGATTTTTCATTCGTATATTCTTCTCAAATATAGTATTCACGAAGGTTCTTCTTCTTCTTCCTAGCAATTTCCCAGCTTAAGCCAGGGTCAGTATTCACGTAGGTTCTTATGAGAATATATATAAATATACATATTTGTAGGTTATAATGAGAAACGTGAAAAGCTTCGTACGTTGTGTGACGATAGAAACTTGTGTTAAATATAAAACTATTTGTGTTATCATGTTAATATTTTCGATATGTTATATATATTTCAAGGGAATTTGAATTGTTTTTCAGTATTAAAATTTACAATTTTTATTGCCCGCGTAATGAATACTTTATTCCCTTTAGTTTTGATATTTCAGATTTAAAAAGTTTCATTAAAAGTTTCGTTAAATAAACAATGTGATAAATAAATTTAAGTAAAATACTGAAATAAAAATTATCACAATCCTGAAAAACGTGTAAAATCTAGAATTACAGCTTCAGAAGTTCGTAAAAACATTTGAAACAGAAGTGATCACTAATGTTACTTATTAAAAATAATTAGTTTCAATTATTGATTCGTTGGCATTTTCAAAAAAAATCGATATTCCACGAACAATTAATTATATCTAATGCAACTAATATTATCGGATTACTACGCGTATTTTGATATTTTAAAAACTAAATACTCCCCACGTTTCGGTTACTTTGAAGCAACCGTTATCACGAACAAACACGATTTTTTTAAATAATAAAATACACGTAGTAATCTGAAAAATATTAGTTTCATATAAATGAATACTATCGAAAGTTTTAGATCTTACTACTTAATTATTATTTAGTACCCGCATTTTTTTTATAAAAAAATATCTATTCAATCCTCATAGTCTAGTAATAATCATAACTTATCAATAAAACGTGTTCTATACTGTATACAGTGGCGCCATCTACACATCTCCCAAAGAATTCACAATCAATTCTCATATTACGACATCAACCGTTGTAAGGATGAAGTCTTACGATCCACTCAAATAACACCATTTGCATATCTCTATCCTGACAGATGTGTTTCATATTGTCTGTTATCAAATAAATTAAAATAATCATACCTAATTTTCTAATTATCCCACAACACTCAAACTACATGTCACTGTGCTTGTAGGCGTGAAACTAAACAGGTAGGTAAACTACGCTGCTGATAAGATAAAAAAATAATCATGACATCTCCGCTGTTTCATGGATGTTTAAGAGAAAAACTACCATTGTATTCATTGGCTACCGTGTATACAGGATTATAAAGGAAAATAATAAATAGAATAGAATAGAATAATTGTTGTGTTACAATGATTTTTATATATCAGTTAGGTTAACCGAATATTATAGATGATCATTTTATAAATAAATTCATAAAAAAATAATGAATTTCATTCCGTAGATAAGATTATATCCATAAATGTAGAAATAAGATAAATCTTTTCCTAATGTAACATGTCAATTAACAAATTTTTGAACTTTTTGAATCAAAATGAACATTTTATTTATATATTTTTTATACATTTTCATAACGTCGCGAAATTCTGCGTTTATTTTTGGATAAGACTCACCTAAAATTGGATTTAAATAATTTTATATTGTATTCGTAGTATTATTGTATTTGATAAATGCGATCTCTTAATATAATATGTAATATCTAAGATGTATATATCTTCAGAGTAACGTTTATCTTATCGGTACTTTTAACTTGCCTTGAGATAAAACTAACTGGTTGAAATATTTTCATGTTTAAAATCAAAGTATATCACCTTACATTATTTACAGTATTCTAAATGGCGCATACCGAGATTTGTATTCATTAATGTGCGAATAATATATATTTTTTATATTAAAATTACTTCTCTATGTTTTTACAGATCTATTATACAGTTCGGATATACAATATTTAAATATTTTTTAATATAACTAGTATAGAATACTTCAATCGTTAATAATGCTGATAGATTTTTTTCCAAATAAAATATTATTTGGTAAATTTTTTAACACACTTTTTAATATTAATATTTGAGTAATCTTATTGTAATTTAAGAGTGTGTTTGCTTGTTTGTTCCATGTATCTCTCGTTGTATCTTGTTACACAAACACACAATATGTGTCGAGAGGATATTTACTTTTCGTAATTTTAATGATGACTGATTGGTTTATATACAGCGAAATTTAGTCGTATTTTAAACAAGAGTTTAATAGTCCTACCGGAAACTCACAAGAAAATTTTATCAAAATTATATGTGTATAATATTTAAAAGATATGTGGCTTAGAATATCCAATATGAGTAAAGCGAAGCCTAGGATAAAGCTAAAACTAGATGAAATGAATGGTGAAAATTACGACGAATTACACAAAATAGATTATGTAAAAGAGTTCAGTTACTTCTGATTTCTGAACCTATCATTAAGTAGAGTGAATTCACTCCATTCGTTATAGGTGTTGCCCGTGACTTTGCTAGAGATTCACAATATGATATCGAAAAGCGTATCAGATAAATATTCAGAAAGAGACGATGAGAAGATGAGGTAAGATATAAGGAAGAAATTCAAAATAGAATTTTGTATTGACATGCTCATATCAATGAAAACTAAAGATTTATTTGTTGAGAGGTTTTGGGACTGACAATCCTACAGTTAACAGCCGTGGAGGGAGGTGTTTGGGGAGTAGATGGTCTGAACGTAGTTCATACATTAATTTGGACTGCGTTTTATATGTGTGGTTTTAGGAAGGATCAGTTAAAGTATAGATTTTGTTCAGTTTTTGATGTTGGATGCTTTGTTTTTATTAGTCTGTTTTTTCTGCTGATGGTACGGGTGCTACTCGTTTATGATGTGCATCTCGAGTATTTCCAGGGCTATGTTTATCGTGGTAAATAAATTTCATTGAGAAGATACGGAATAAAGAGGAAATAAACAGAAGACTAGCTCCCGCGTGGAAAAAGAGGTTCTC